AGGAGGAAAAACAAAATATTAATAAAAATTATATTATACTCAAAAAATGATTTCAATGGATCGCTCATTTAAAACTGCGATTACGTAACAGTAGCTCATGTGACTGTGTTCTTTTTTTGTACATTTTTGCCTTATTAGTCAAAGATTATTACCTATTAGCTTTACAATTCTTATTCGTTTTTTAAGTAATATAAACGTCATAAATGCCATAAAGTGAAGTGAAAACATTGAAACCATTTTTTGAGTTAGTGTACTATTGTTTTCGTCTTTCCCACATTCTATACATCCATATTCATTAGGTTGAAGTTTATATACCATGTCCACTTTTCTTCCCATTAACTTTCGTGCAGCTTGGCTGATATTTGCGATAGTTCATGCAGCGTTCAGGCCATTGGATGAAAAAGTACTTGATTTCTCCCCACTTTGAATAATAGTTAATAAAATTGTTAATGAAACAGAAAAATAAAAATACCTTCTTGATTTGATTGCAGAATAATCAAATACAGTGTCTATTAATAATCAGATATGGCGTAGGATTGTGATATTTCTTTTAAAATATCAAATAAAAAATATTAGAAAATAAAAATAATAATAAGACAAAAGAGTCAACGAGACCGAACAATAGTTTTAAAGTCAATTATTTTATTTATGAATTTAAACTGATGGGGTATTTATAAGAATTGTTAAAGAGGTCTGAGGATAGGATGTGAATCAGAAAAGTATTAGTTACGACCGAATTAGGTATATTGTTGACAACAAAGTGTTAGTGATTTTAATATTATTAGATGGAGCGGATCAAGAGAGTTAGGATAGAATTTCTTAAATGAATTTATGATCCGCATGTTTAATCATGAAACATGACATTATAAGTCAGCTCATGACAAGGATATCCGCTTCAGATTGGTCACTGAGAGGGTAGTAATTGGACATAAAGAGCTTGATCGTATTTAGAACAGTTGCCTGCGCCCATGCTAGAGCTTCATCGTTTCTAGGGTGGGAATTGGCAGCCTTCACATCAGTATATAATTTGTCTAAGTCGTTTTCTGTTGAGAATAATAGCAATGAGTTAAAGTAATTTTCTAAATCAATAGGTAAACTTGGTAATCGTTTCAACTTGAATGTTTTGATCTCCTTCAAATCCTCTTTTGTAAACACTGTCTCGGATCCTTCCCCGTATACCGCCGTCGGACTTTGAAAATGCAATTTTATTTTATGGGAATGGCTCTCTAATATATTACTAGTGAAAAAAATATTGACTTTGTCGTTTCTTGACTTCTTGAGGTACGAAAGAGTAAAATTTCAGATAGTATTAAGCAAAAATAACAAAGAATATAATTACGTTTTTATAATATTTAATGGTTATCTTTATTCAAAATTAATAATTTCTCAATATTTATACTAAATTTGCTACAACAATAAAGTTTATGTGACAACAGGGAAAATCATGATTATTGATTATAGTAAAGATGCATAATTGTTGTCTTCTTGATTTTCTCATGTTGTCAACTAATTATGCCGACGTCTTTTATTTTCACAAATTATGCATAATTTTAACTTCTTTCTTCTCACGTCCGAATCCTTTACTATCGGCTTAAATCTTCTTTTATTTTGCCTATTAATTCTAAACGATAGATTGTACTCTACTTCTATTTGTTGGTTCTCTACTTCGTTCCTAATAGACTGGACAATCCAACGTATTTTAGCTGTAGGTTATCACTACTAGTGGTATTACAATAAAAGGAAATTCTATTTTTCCAAGTCCGACGGCGGTATATGGGGAATTAACCATTCTAGAACTTACCATAATTATACTGTGGAAGGTACAAAGAAATAATACGATCGCTATTATATGCTAGGCTAAAGTTACTACCAAATTGTGGGACAGATTTTATTTTTATAGGTACGGCCACAAAACTGTCCCAATGCATATTCAATTTTTTATTTACTATTTTACGCTGAGTTCTAAATTATATTACTATTTTTGGTAATGACTTGATAGAGAATTACTTAGGCTATCGAATGATATCTTCGATATCTTTCTAGCATGATTACAAAAGAAGAACGTGTCAGTTAAAGAGAAAAGTGCAAAACATTGGGACAGTTTTGTGAGTCACTGTATGAAACAGCTTCCCCTCTAATTAAAGCTGGCCTGACATCAAGAGGAAATAAGGGACAAAAAATATTCATATTTATAGCGTAAGTATTGAAAAACTTACTAGAATCAGTTGTATCTCCAAAATGTAAGTGTGAATATCTGTAATCAAATTGAAAAGTTGATTCCAAGTTCTTACGCAGCTTTTTTCACTTTTTTCCACTCGCCCTTGTTTTGTGCCCTTATGGATATGTCTGACTTTTACTATAGAACAATTATTTATTCTACTTTGGACTTCTGGGCCAGTCAAATTCATTAAACAGTTTCCTTGAACATAAATATGGCATTGTCGTCTCCAGCAGCTTTCACAATGGCGTTTCCAGCAATCTTCATAATGGCGTTTTCAACAATTTTCACATTAACTTTTCATTTTGCCAAAGTATGCGAAAAAAAATATGAAATAAATCGAACGCAGCAATTGAAATAAATCGTTAAGCCCTCCCCAAATAACAGAAATTTTGCCACAAGTCACAGATAAGAATTTCAAATTTTTAATTATAAATACAGTTCGTTTTTTTTCTTTCTTTTTCTTTTTTTAAATAATCATTTTGAACAGAGTTTACTTTTATAGTCCTTTTTAGGGTTTATCATTATATTTCCTGGTTATTATATGTTATATTCGTTCTTATAAAAGCGGGCTTATTTTTATATTCCTATTTTGGGGGTTTACTTGCATACTCCTACTTTGACAGTTGTTTTGATTAGCAAAAGGTAAAGAATGAGAAATGAACAGAATACAAGTCTGTGAAAACTTTGTATAGTTTGTTAAAGATAATACAAAAATTGGTATGGTATTGCAGTTCATCATGTCGGAGTTTCAAGTTATAAGTTTCCCTTTTTGTAAATTGACTATGCGCATCACACACGTGTGTACTCAGGCGGAAAATTAAAAAAATGTCGGGCTTGACTTTTAATTTCTGTTGCGATAATTAATAATTAGTTATTTGTATTATTAAAATTGCGGTATTAGAACAAATATAATTTTTATTTTATTGTATTTTTTTTAATTCAAAAAGTTGATGATCCATTATTGACAATGGAATTAACGGAGCATAGTAGCGGACGCATCGCGGAGTTTCAAATTCGTACATGGTAATTTTTATTCAAACTCCGATAAAAATGGCTGCAAAATTGATGGAAATGGTGGTGCTGCCGGCACGTCACGTGGTCGCACTGGGGATAAAAGTAGACTGAAAGGTGAGCTTTCATTAAAGTTTCAGTATACGTTTACAATTGTAAAAGGTGTACTGCAAATAAAGTTTAATTTCACAATTGTAAAATTTTGTAAAATTAGACCATTTCACAATTTTGATTTTAGACATTTCACAAAAAATTTTGAAATGTTGGAAGTTTAACTATTTTTTTATAGCAAACGAGTGTTGTATATATGATGATGTATTACAAAATATAGCATAGATATTCAATCATTATCAAAGTGGGATGATGTTATCATATATTAGTGGTGCACTTCATGTACACGATACTAATCTACTTTAGTATATGAGACACACTTGTGCTAGAATGAAACTATAAAATTACAGAGATGTTATGTAATAGATGTCTTAAACATGAAAGAAGAATAGTTGCTGATCAAAATATAAAATACTTAATATTGAAAGTTAATTACCTATAAGAAGCACTATCTTCAGTATGGTTATGCACAATTATAAACAATCTCTAAAGAGTTATAGAATAGAAACTTGAGGAGTTGATTAGAAGATGATAGAGATATATGTTTCAATACAGAAACAATATTATATCAATTCGAGATCATTCTGAAGTTCTAAAAAAAAAAATTATTTAGTTTAATTTGAGATACCATTGGTAACTAATTATTTGAATCAGATTAGCATTTGAAACATAATTGACAGCTGAGATTAATTGATCAGTCAGGTTCTTCATTATCAAGGTTAAACAAGATTCATAATTATTTATTGGATATGTCTATGGTTTTATAATATTAAATCAAGAAGTTTTACCCGTTTCCAGAAGATATAAATAAGGATCCATTTTGTATAATTTTGAAAAGACAGCTTTTTTGAAATAAAAAGAATTAAACAAAGTTTTCACAGACTTTTATTGTTTCTTATATTTTTCTTTATTATTATTTTCTTCTTAATCAACAACGAGAGAGAAAAATTTGCCAATTTGAAATTTACTAAAATTCTTTTATTTGGCTAAGAATTGATGGAGATATTGAGATATTAGCCTTCAAAGATTTGCTTAATGGTTAAAAAATATAACAAATTTTTGGGCATATGTAATATTTCTTTTAGAATATCAAATAAAAAATATTAGAGAATAAAAAATAATATTAAGACAAAAAACGTCAACAAAACTGAACAGTAGCTCTAAAGTCAATTATTTTTTATTTATGAATTTAAATTGATGGGGGTATTTATAAGAATTGTTAAAGAGGTCTGAGAATAAGATGTTAATCAGAAAAGTGTTAGTTACGACCGAATAAGGTATGTTGTTGACAATGAAGTGTTAGTGGTTTTAATATTATTAGAAGGAGTGGATCAAGAGAGATTCAGGAGATTCTAGGCAGAGTTCCTTGAATAAATTTATGATCCGCATGTTTAATCATGAAACATGATATTAAAAATCAGCTCATGACACCTCCTCAATTAAGAATTTATTTACAGTTTTTTTTTTGTACTTCGTAGAAGATGAGATTGCCTGTAATAATGTGGGAATCTAGCATCCAACCTTAGTTTGTTGCTGGTAACGGACCTTATGACTGTGCCCCTAGTGAAATTATAGTTAGTGATCTGATGGATACATGTTTGACACTATAGAAATAGCGCAATTGCTACAAGATACTTCTTTGAATGTTATCTTAATTATGAGCTTATCTGAAGATCAAAAAATTTACGAATTGTCCATCAAAGTTAAAGGCTCAAAAAGACTCTTCCATGACTATCCTGTCCAGAATTGGGATTTTTTGAACTACTATAACAGCACTCATAACGATCGGAATAAATTGAAAATATATGCTAATATAAAATTTGACTTTAAGGATGATCTTAATTGGTTCGTACAGCTACCAAACATTCCAGATAACATAACAGCATTTACTACAAAACTTAATAACGATATTCCTGTTAAGAATGAATTAAAAGATCTTGTAGCTAATGCGGCACAAAAAAAAAACCTTCCACCATCAGCATGTTGACATAACTGGGAATATGGTGACAGTAGGTGATATAAATAACAGTGGTAACTGTGATGGGACGTAATTAAAAATTAAAGAGAGAATAGAAGAGAGAGAAAGGGAACAAAAGGAAGTATAGTTTGAGACTGTTTTATTCAATTAAAAAATAAAGAATAAAAATTGAAAGTTAAAAGAAAGTTAAAGATTATTTTGTGTCTACACAACTGCTTGTATTTATATTAATGAATCCTGAATCAAAGAAATAAAAATAACCGTCAAAGAACATGAGTCATGAAACAGTGTTAGTATTCGGATATACGTCTTGTTGATTCAAGAGACTGATCTATGGATTATCTATTGGGTGTTATAATGATCTGATCAAGTTTTAAATAAAAAATTTATTGTTTAATCTGAGTATATGTTCCTGATGTTTATTTCAGTGGATCAAAGACGTCCTGAATCCTTTATCAAGGTTATAAAAATAAATATTTAGAAATGATACGATGTCTTATAATTGATACATCTAGACAATTGGATGTCAATAAGTTTTATATTATTTACAAGATGTTATATACAGAGTTTTATTTCATATTCAGGCTTATATTTTATCCTGTATTATGTAATTCATCTATTATAAGATTACTTATGATTATGTCCAGAGCTTGTTCTATAACAGTAACGTCTATTCTGGAAAAAGAAAAGAAATTGAGCAAGATGTGCAACCAGATAGAGTAGATGAGGATAATGACAATTATACAGCAACAGGAGACTTGAAGTATTTTGTTAAATTTTTGATGGAAGAAGAAAACGATTACCATCCATATAGCTTAGAAGCTCATGGAGTTGTTAGATGCGGTGAGGGTGTCTCACCACGACCCAATTTGAACAGAGCATCATATAACGAATATTGTAAAAGCCACCAAAATAAAGAATTTCCAATACCCTCAGAAGGTGTACCATATAATGATGCTGTAGTCGATAGCGATGATATCATCTCGTTTAGAAAACAGACAAGAAAGGTACCTGATGACTGTGGAGATAATGAAGAAATTTACAACTTCCTTGAAAGTCTATTTGTTGCATCGTAAGAATAAATTATAACATTTAAATTTCGTTTATTAACTAGTATATAATCAAATTTAGTCTTCAATGCTATACGTCTGAACAAGATATTTACGATGGTGAACCAATATTTAACAGTTTATTTGTATACCCATATCTAGTTGCAGTTACAAGAGGTGTGACTTTAAAGAATTGCTTGGCCGATTTCAAGCCTAGAGAAGCACACTTAGAATCAATGAGTAGACAGCTTAACGCTTTAGGCTCGCGAAATAATAATAAAGGCGAGTACAAAGCTGATGGTATTATCAAACTTTATGGAATGAAAAAAATAGAACTGTTACTGTTGGAAACATCAGGGTCATCAAACAATAAAGCAAAAAAGCAAGATAAACTATGACCATCATAAGTGCGTTTACGGAAGATTAGCAATATTGAAAACAGTAACTGATATTTTTTGCTTTGCCTCGATTGAATGCTTCAAAGCCTTTAAAATTTACTTTTTACATGCTGAAGGTAACATTAATGATATGTTAATTATGTTTACAAAACTAAGTCTACTATTTTGAAAAGGAATGTCGTTGCACCTTTGGAGCATCTACTTTACAGAAGAATGATATTATGAGTTATGGAGCGAAGAAAATTTAGAAATATTATCGACTTTTGATGACAAACATGATCACCTTCCTAATTTAATACAGTTTTGGTTAAGAGTGAAGGTTTAAAGCATACATTTTCCATATTAGTTATGTTTATTAACATTTATTTATAATTAGGCTTTAGTAACTGAATCAGTAAAAGCAATTTCAAAATTGAGTGAAGAGCATATTGTTGTGATTGTAATAGCCTTTATAATTAAGTTAATAGAAATAAACCATCATTTATTACATAATAAAGAGGTTATTCAAATTAAACTAATATATCGCGCTTCACAGCATAATATTCATTCTACTCTCAGTTTTGATAATAGTCATTGTTTGAGTATTCGAGCATTAAAAATAATTATATACATTATATTATGTAATAATAATAATTCAATAGGATTATGACTGTTATATTCAATTACATAATTATTTATAAGTCATACATATTATATATAGATAGCTATAAAGATAAATATTGTTATGTAATAATATCTTATAGGATAATAATAATAGTAGCATATAAATAATTGGTATTGTTATAGCTGACATATTCACTGTGAATTAATATTGACGCGTCGCTTACCCCAGAAATAATAATTTAATATTTTTAGTAACAGCGACAGCTCAGGCAGAAAAGAATAAAAATAGATCTTATTGTAGGCAGAATTATTCGGAGAAAATATTTATGACTAATGCTTTATTATAGCAATATTTGCTTATCCAAATCATAGTTCTATTAATATCACTTACCTTGCAAAAACATATAAATAACCCTTTACTTTTTCACATAATTTTTCCTTGTACAATTTTTGTATTTTTTTCCTCAATAAAAAAACTACGCGAAGTTTTCACAGACTTGTCTTTTGTTTTTTCTCTTTCTTTAACTTTTTGCTGTCAAAACACATATAACTAATAAGAAAAAGTACAGATACTCTTCTTGTCCAACTCCTTTATTAAATGAAGTTATAAATCCCACCATTTTGAAATTAACAGAAAAAAACCAAGATTAAAAACGTATAAGTTTTATAATTATTGAGAACAGGTATATAATCAGAACAGAACCCAGCACACAGTATTTTACTTCACTTTACACTTTCTCACTTGTCGATAAAACTATTTAAATTATTTATCTTTCTCTCTCTCTTTTTTTTAAGCTCTATTTAATTATTATTTTTACAAAATTTATCTTTAAGTTTGCTAAGAGCATTCTTAAAAAATCCGAGGTATTTACTATCTTTTATATCCTCTATTGTATTTTTTTCTTCTTTATGCTTAATAGATGGTTTTACTTCTTCTACTTTTGGACGAAAATCTTCATCTACAACAGCCGCATATTCTTGAATAATTTCTTTTTGTTTTCCTTTTAAGGATCTAGGAAATTCAACTTTAATTGTCACTATTTGATCACCGCGTCTTGTTGCATCATGAATTTGTTGAACACCACGTCCCTTTAAGGTAATGTTATCACCAGGTTGAGCCCCAGAAGGTACTTTAAGTTCTACATCACCATCGATAGTTGGAATACAAACACGTCCACCTAACATTGCTTTATAGAAAGGAACTTTTGCTTCTACAAATATATCTGCATCTCGTCTGCGGAAAATTTGAGAAGGTTCAATCTACAAACAACATTAATTTAATACGAAAACTATTTAAAAGTATATTTATATAGCTTACATTTAATAATACAACCAAGTCACCATTAAGCCCCTGTCCTTCCAAAGGTGCATCACCTTCACCTGAAATTATAATTTCTTGATCTTGATTTACACCAGCTGGTATCTTTACTTGAACCATTTTCTTTTCTCTTACTTTTCCCATACTATCACAGACAGGACAACCACATTCAGATGGAATAAAGGAACCTAAACCACGACAAGATTGACAGGCTGTTTGCATATAATAGCTACCCACCATAATTGTCTGCACACCTGTACCATGACATCGAGAACAAGTTGCTTTCTTTTTGCCAATACGTAGCCCACTACCATGGCATGTATTACAGGTTGTTATTTTGTTAATTTGAACATATTTTACTGCGCCCTTTACTGCTTCCATAAAACTTAAGTTTAAAGGTATTTCAATGTTTTGACCCATGTTTGTATTATTAGAATGAAAGGGATCGGCTCTGCCTCCACCAAATCCTCCGCCAAAAAATTGATTAAAAATATCATTTACGTTAAATCCTCCAGGGAATCCACTATCATTACTATAAAATCCGTCTGTACTTTTGTATCCATGCCCAAATTGATCATACTGGTTACGTTTTTTTTCATCAGATAAAATTTCATAAGCTTCTTGGACTTGAGCAAATTTCTCCCGAGCGCTTTTATCTTTATTTGTATCAGGATGATATTTTTTAGCCAACTAAGTAAATAAAATATTCGTTAATAATACATAACTTTATCTGTGCATATATATATACATATATATTACACCATAATAAGCCTTTTTAATTTCACTAGCGCTTGCTGTCTTTTTAACACCTAAAATTTCATAAGGATCTTTTTTTAACGATGGTAAAGGAGCTAATCAAAAGAGAATAAATTACTATTTTTTTTTTTACTAAAAAGAGAAAAAAAAAAGGTTAATCGTACCCGTTGTATGAATAGATCTCTTTTGCTTGTAGCTGATTGACCTTCTAAGACTGGCAACTCCATCTAAAAATAATTTATTTGAGCAATTTGAATTGAAAATAAGACATTAAGCATACTTTTACTAATAGTATTGATAAAACGTGTAGTTGGCAAGTTGTAAATATTTTTTTGTTTAGCACTAGATAAAGTCAAAGTAATGACTTTTCTCCAAGGAGAGAATATAACCATCTATATGTATCTATCATAAAAAAAACAGGGGGGGAGAAATTGACTTATTTTTGGTTTTTTTTTTTTTTTTTTTTTTTTTTTTTGGGGGCGAATCAGACTTTCATTTCGGATATTTAATAAATAAACTTTGTAATATGTTGAAAAAGTAAAGACAGAGAAGGGAAGAAATTGTGTTTCTTATTTTATCTGAATAGTCAATTCAAATGTTTACTGGAAATAAATACAAAGTAAGAAATATGATTGCTAGTTTATAGAAAGAGCGTCATTTGCTCCAAAAAAATAAAAAAATTGCTTGAATTCTGATGAAGACTCTTAACAATTAAAACAATAAAGTTAGTTGAAAAATCAAAGTTAGGTGAATACTCCCTTTAGTAATTCTCAAAAGTAGTTGAAGATATCCAATCAATTGTGTAAAAACTCTTCTATTTTGTAGCAAATATTAAAAAAAACTTGACTATGTTATGGTTTTATGAGTTATAACTAAATTCATAACAGAGTATATTACCTTTACATTAATTCTATCATTGTATGTAATATAAAAGAACTCTATATTAACTTTAGTACTTTCAATCATTGGAATTCATCACGTAAATATGATTCAAAAAAAATCTACAGCAATTATAATGACAAAATAAGTGAATATAACTCCTGAGTAGTAATTAGAGCTTTAAATGATATGTATTTTGATTAGTATTTTATTTTCTGACCTTTGGCTTTTACAATTGCATCCATATATTTAAGGCATATGTCCTTTGTTTTTTAAACCAAATATTGGCTGCACATATAAATATATTAATATAAATATTTTTAAGAGTTTATTGGAATAATACAGCTTATGCTGCTTTGAATAACAAATAGAGAAGAGAGTATAAAAGCAAAATCAATTCTGTATGATTTATTAGAATTTTTATAATATTAAAAAATACTGATTGTTAGATCTCTTAGGCTGTGAAGCCATAAAGTGCTTTCGAATAAATATTTATTAATTGTAACTAGAAATATACCACACTATTTTTTTTTTTTCATAAGGCAACACAGCATGTCTAATACAGTTGATTTGGTATTCAGTATATTTTATTGACACTTATCATAATGTGCTTATATCTATTTATCAATATCTCCCCCTTACCTGGATGTCTTTGTATATTCGAGAGAAATTGTTTTGATACTTTGGAATTTTATATTTCAGGAACACATCTAATCTTGTAAGTGACTATATTAAAGCATCTTGCTTTCTTATCATAATTATCAATTCAATGAATCAGACATATTCACCAAAAATTATACTTACTGGCTCTCTTCCATGTCATACTATTGGTATCTGGTTCCATAAATTCACACATATATATTCCCAATTGTTTTCCAGAACCCAAATACCGAAAAAAGAGACACTCATAAACCTCATTATCATTCTTAGTAAATATTTTCTAAAATACTCTTCAATAAAGATTATACTCAGTTTTCACAATTCCTTTATCTCTTATTTTTATTTCATTTTTTTTTATATTCTTTACCTGCACAACAGCTTGGTTACTCCACAGCCGTCCATCGCATTGCCCTTTTCACCCTGATCAACTACTTGGTAGGATTTGTTCAATATGTTGTCTCCATTTGCATTGCAGATTATTGGAATAGGCTTCCTTCTAAAAAAAAAAAATCTTCTATAATAATGTCTGCCCTCTCCATAGTTTATATATTGGCCCTCAACCTGTTCAATATTACACAAGATGGATTGTCTAGTTCACAACTAGGACAATTTAATAATAGCTTTATAAACTATGTACCCACTGGTCATATTCTTATAAATAAAATCCTTCTTAGTCGTATTTATAACCTATGATTTAAATCAAGGACAGGCAGATTCCTTTATTCTATTTTGACATTCACTAAACAGCAATGTTACAAGAAAAAAAAAACTTTTTTTTGTTAGTTGATAGTAATAATACAGTTAATTAATAGCGTAAGATATAGCCAAAATACTAATTACGTCATGGATAGTAATAAATTTGCTTGAAAAAGTCTGGTGTCTATCTATGCAAAAAGAAAAAAAAAGTATCATAGATCTTGTAATAAATGCTAATGCTGTTAGCAGAAGTTAATAAATATAAACATCTATCAAACAAAAGAAAATTATTAAGCAGAGTCAGCAAATTTCAATCAATGTTTGTGAGAAGTTCTTTTTTTTTTTTTTTTTTTTTTTTTTGAAAAGAATACAAACAAGTTGAAATCACATATTTGAGATGAAAATAAAAATAAGTGAAGAGACAGACATACCTTATCGATATTGTGATCTTTATGTTACGATTCATATAGGTTTTATTCATCAAATTACCAACATCTGAAGGACAAAGAAAAGGATTGGATTTAACTTGAAAGACTTTATAGATGTAAAGGAAACGCTTTTTTAGTCCTATGTTGCAACCAAATCAATGCATGAAATAAAGTATAACCATAAAAAGACGTCCCTTATAATGGCGCTCATAAATTCTACAACAACAGCAAAACAAATGTTGCCCGAAAGAGAAGCAATCTTTAAGCTTTTACTGAGAAAATTAACACATTTAGAAGGAGTTTAAGCGTAATTTACTATGTTAGTAAAATGTAAATTTTATATTGATCCATATAGTGTCTATTTGGTAAAAAGACTGCTGCTAGCGACGCAGCAGCATAAATGCCTCCTTTTATCCACTGAAAATATAATTTAATATCCGCATATTTCTTATTTCTATTTTTTTTTTTTTTTTTTTTTTTTTTTTGTTAACCTTTATTTTTGAATCATTAACAAAACAATGCCTCCTAAGAAGAGAACAATAAAAAAATCAACCAAGGAAGAAAAGCCTGAGCAGGACAAAATAGTTCTTCAAGAAGAATCTTCAAAGCTAATTTCCGAATCAAGCTCAACAAAACGTAAACATGATGCTGAAGAAGAAGAAGAAGAAGAAAAAGATCAAAAATCAGTAAATGAAAATAAAGAGGAAAACCAATCATCAACTGGTTCTACACTTTCTGATCGAATGGCTAAATTAAGGGAGCTCAAAAGACGCAGAGTAAACTAATTAAATTAACAAAACCATTCATAATTTCTAATTTTTTTTTTTATTTCATTAGGCAACTGAAATCGAACAAGGAAATCGTCGTGATCGTAATCTCGAATTTCAACGTAGTAAAGAAAATCCTAAATTACAAGCTAAAGATGAACGGAAAAGAGCAGAAGCTTTAAAGTTATTAGAAAAGCAAGAGGCAGAAGATAAAGGAGAAGATTATGAACGTAAGCAGTTCTGGAAATATTCTGCTGAATCAGTTGAAGCATGGGAAAGGAAAATGGCCAAGAAAGCGAAAAAGGCAAATACAGGCTTTGCTGGTAAATTACATCACTTTTTTTTTTATTGTTATGAATATATTTAATAATATTTCAGTTTAGATCATACACAAGCTGCACATAAAAAATATATTAATCTGATGTCTGATTTCAAACCAGATATGAATGCTTATAATGAAAAGAAACTTCAGACAATTGAGCGTGCTATTCGTAATGGTGAAGATCCCTCAGATGTTGTAGTCATGGCTAACTCTTTGGATTATGCAAGTTTAGACGATAAACCTTCAAAGCAAGCAATAAATAAATTAGCAGAAGAAACCAAGAAACAGTAAGTTCTTTAAGGGAGTTAAAAGAATAAATCTAATTATTTTTTTTTTTGTTTTTATAGAATTGAGAAACGTGAAACTAGATCTCGTGAACGTAAAGAACCCACTGACGACATTTCATGGATTAACGAAAAGAATCGTGTATTCAATCAAAAAATTGCAAGATTTTATGATAAATATACAAAAGAAATTCGTGATAATCTTGAAAGAGGCACTGCTTTGTAGATATTAAGTAAAAAAAAAAAAATAATAATAATAATAATAAAAAAAAAATAGTCTTTATTTTTTTTTGAATGGAATTTTACAACGCCACATAACAAATGGTGGTTCTGATCCTTTACCCTTATATCCAGCAGTAGTTTGTTTTTGTGGCCTACAGATACAGAGATGAACGGTTTCATTATTTATTTGTTCAAAGGCTTGAATACCATCCTGTAATAAAGCAACTCTTGGGAAACCTTTCCTTACTAATTCAGCAGCATACTAAAAAAAAAAAAAAAAAAGGAGAGGCATTAGCATATACGAATCGAATGATAATTATATTCTTACCTCTGGGCCACCTTCATTAGCAATGACAACATGATATTTTCGATTCAGTTTCTTTAAAATATTAGCATAACTAGGAAGTTGTGCTGCTTGAACGTTTATTGATAATGGTATATGCCCCTTAACAAATCTATTGTAGTTCTATTAATGTAATGTATATTTGACAAAAAAAAACTTATATTTGTCTATTACTTACTCTGATTCTGATCGAATATCTATAATTAAAGAATAAGAAAGGATGTTTAGTAAATCCTTCACAGACAATCTGGGAGCTAATTCTGTTTTTTTAATTTCGATTGATATCTTTAACGGCTGAATAAGTAAATTAATAATAATAATAATAATAATAAAAAAAAAGAAAAGAAAGAAAGAAAAAAAGCATTACATCTATTGATATTTAATTACCACTTCTATATTATCTGCCGATGAAGGTCCATGAACTCTCGAAGAAATGCTTGGGGGTGTTACTTTACACATATTCAATGCACTCTGAACACATTTCTCAATATCGACTTTTGGAAAATTATCAGAGAACAATACAATACAGTCATTAAATTCATACGAAAGCAAAGTATCACGGATCTGCTTCAGGATGGCTATACCAGCAAAAAGAGGTAAAGCTGGAGGCCCAACTAAAAGCTTATCCCATAAATGATAGATTTTATCAAGGGGGAAGACATCTATGATTATACCATATTAAAAGGTGAGCTTGCGAAAATTGGTGTATACTCACGAGTAAATAAAGTTAAAAACCATGGTATGGCATAAAGATCTGGCATGAATCCAATGGCATCCAAATGACTAGAAAGCTCGGGATCATGATAACTTAATAAATGTCGAAAAACTGCCAAATATTCTTGAATAACGAGTGCATTATCAGATAAAAAGAAATTATTAAGAAATTTTGGAATAAATTTCTGTAAGCATGCAAAGGCAATAGCTTCATCATTAAAATTCAGTGTTAAAAACGGTGCGCAAAGTGAATCTAGACCTATATATTTATACATGTTAAATATGTGTTATATACATATATATATATATATATATATATATAGCATGCATGTAGTATACGTTACCTTGCCAATAAACTAAATTTTTGTTAGCTGATACCCAAGCCTTTAATAGTTTTCTTAATTTTTCATGGCCTGTAGAAGAAGCTAACAATTGGTTATACTGATGACATCTTGGTACATCTACTTCAATCTATAATGAAGAGTTAATCAATCTCTACTATTTATTAAACATTATATTACTTGTCTATCTGCTCCCATATCAATATATTTATTAATTTGGTCATATTCATATTCCAAGTCACCGTGTACACCTAATATAGCAGCCCAAATTTTCCCTCTTAATAATGGCGGAATATCTATTTTAGCATGCTGTATAATCTCCTTTCTTGAAGCTGGATATTGACGTAAAAGGTCTGCAAACAAAGATAGCCGACAGCGTTGATAATCAATATCTTGCTCACGAAGTAACAATGGCAGTTTAGAGACATGAGGCTGATTGTTTAAAGAAGCCATACTATTGACAGATAAAGATGAGGTCGATCGAGATCTGCCCATACTTGTCATTGATACTGCTCTACTTATTGACCTAGAAGAAGAAGGTGTAGTTGGCGTAGATACTTTGCAGACAGAATCTGATGTTGATATAAAGTTATCAGAGAATAACAAATCGTTTATACATTCATCGCCAAGTTCTTTATCATCGTGTTCCTCACTATTATAATCATCATCATTATCCAAAAGGAAATTAGCATCATTTTCATCCACTAATATAAAATAATCCATATCCCATTCGAATTTATTTGATTCCCCTTTTTGCTTAGCTTCTTCTAGTCGTTGATATAATTCTTTAAAACCAAGGACATAGATTGCATCCGAGTAAAGTTGAGTTGTATCCATCACTTTATCACCTATTTCAATACCTTCAGGCATGATGCAAGCACGCGGTAGGCGTTTAATAACAGGTGTTGATAAAAAGATGCCTCTCTTAACAAGATCTAATTCCACATCTCCACCTGCTAATTTCCATAAATGATAGATATGTGTCATTGGCAAATCTTGAAGTATATCCTGAGCGTCTTCTTGACTTTTGCTATTTAATGTATCAATTGTCTCTAGTTCTATCACGTTAGATGCTAAAAGTGGGCCCTCTACCCATTTTACAGCATCTACTGACACTAATCCTTTCTCAAAAAAGCTAGATGATAAAGCTTGTCTAACATCAAACCTGCTTGTAGTTGAAATTTTGAGACAGTTTAAAATGAATTGGTGAAATGCTTGCTCTTCTGGATCTTTATGATCTTCTATTTGTAAAAATTTCAGAATTGATTTATTGATATCCAAAGTTTCAATATCAGCATGCTTCCAGACATTTGATGTTGGATCTTCTTCTTGCCATTCTTTCAAAGTTAATAGTGAATCAAAAATTAAACCCACATCACTTGTTGTCCAAAACGAATTCCTCAAGTATTGTTCAATCAAAATAATGCCTGTGGCCCAAACATCTTGTTTATCTTTCAAGTTTTCTAAACATTCTGGAGCTAAATAAGCTGGATAGCCGATTGGAAAATCAACATCTCTTCCACCACTTGTCATATAATATAAACCATAATTGAATAATTTGATATGATTCTACGAGAAAATAAAGGATTACATGCGCCCATAAGTATGTACTAAAGCAATTTTTTTTTTTTTTACCTCTTTGTCTAACAAAATATTACTAGGTGATAGTGAAGCGTGTATAATATTATGTTCTTTCAGATAATGCAATGCTGAAAATATTTCAAATGCCCATTGTTTCAATACAAATAAACTAATAAGAATTATTAGTGTGTGTTATTGTGATGCAATTTCCTTGTTAATCAAACCTAATTGGCAGTTGTTCATGTGAGTCAATGCTTCTAGTTTTTTGAAGTGAAACGTCATGATATTCAGATACAACGAAAAGTCTATCTATAAAATATACATTAGACATTGTCCAGCTATTTATGCATCTTTCTATACCATGTTTTCCTCGATGAATTTCGATATATTGGCACAAATGGGGATGAATTAAGGTCTATTTTGTTTTTTTTTTATTTAAAGGGAAGAAAAAAAAAGTTAACATTGTATATTATTTTTGAAATTTCTATACCTTCAAGTATTGAAATTGTCCAATTATTTGAGAAGGTGCAGACAAAGCCAAATGACCCGAGGCAGCTAATGTCTCGGATACACGTGAAGAAGCAATGAAATTGATGGATGCTAATTTCGGTATTCTTGAAGGTATAATTAAATCAACAGCATTAATGAATAAGGCCATTTTATTATTAAAAAAAAGGAAAAGAAAAAAAAAGAAAAAGGAAAAGAAAAAGAAAAAAAAAAAAAAAAAAAAAAAAAAAAAAAGAGAGGGAAATAATTCGTTTCCCAGGTTTTTTATTGAGCTATTGCGATGTCAAAATTGAATAAAATTATAGACTGTTGTATTATGGATATATTATGTAATATGAAGACGTATATATGTATATGGTGTTGCATAGTAAATACCTGATTTATACGAATGAAGAATTGTTTATTATAAACTATTAGGTGATGGTTATAAATAAGGGATAAGGGATAATATGAAACATAAACTTGTTAGTTTTTTTTTTTTTTTTTTTTTTTTTTTTTTTTTTTTTTTGGAGTACAGAAGTATAAATAAAATGACAGTTTAGCGAAGATCGTCATCAAAATCGCTTCCACCGATATCAATGTCTTCATCCTCATCATCTTCATCTATACTTCTTTCCACTGTTTCTGGTGGTGGAGGTAGTGGTGGAGGTAATGGTGCAGGCGAAGGTTTATGTTCAACAACAACATTTGCTATCTCTTCGTCTTCTTTCACCTTTGTCTTCTTTCCATTACTACTAGAAGATCGTTTTATTGTAATAGTTGTACTAGTATTATTTGAACGTTTAACTGTATTCGGTTTACTGTTAGACCATTTCCCACCTGTTTTTTTTCTTACTATTGCTTGTGGTTGTTGATGTGATGTTTTTATTGCCTTTGTTGTAGGTTCATCATCCACTTTATTTTCAGTAACTGAACTTTGCCTACGCTTTTTCTGTAAATCACGAGGATGAATATGTAATAGCTGTTGTTGTTTTGATGTCACACGATTCAATATCTCTTCTAAATTTAAAGAACGCATTTTTTTTTTATCATTTGTTTCCGTATCGCTTTCCTCATCATTTGATGACATTGCAGAGGAGTCACTATTCACAACATCAACATCACTATTTTCTTCACGTTGACTAGATATACTTGCCGTTGAATTGCTACGCTGACTACTTTGTATAGAACCCTGCCTTGATAAACTTTCTTTGTCGTCTATTTGACTTAGCAGTGGTGCTTTTCCATTTGACTTTAAAGCCTTATGAGGATTTGCTAATAATATTTCATGAAGTTGAGCAGCTGCTAAGGTACTCGAGGATTGTCTTGATATTGGAGATACAACAAAGCCATTACTCTTTGCGCTTTCAGCTCGTAGAGCAGCTAATGCTAAAGCTGTTAAACGGCTATCTCGTGCGGGTTTACGTGTTGTGATTTGGATCGGTAATGGTGAAGGAAAATAAGACTCAATTGAATCTTCAAGAAAATGACCTAACTTGCGTTGTATTGAGCATGTCACAGCTAATTCCTGAGCACGACGTAAAGGAATCCAAGTACCGAACAATGGACTTTGTTTCTTGGGCATTCTTATACGTTCCATTTCAAAACTGAGAATCATACTACGTTCACTCTCTGTTTCAATACCACCTGCTGTTAGTAAAGTAGTTCCATTAATAAATCCTGTATCTACACGCCGCATCAGTCGGTATTCAGGCGTATGCTCTGTCTTGGCCAGAACACAGATGCATACAGGTACATTATCAATAACGGTGATATACATGGGCGGATTCATAGAGGTTAAGGTATGGACGATAGGCTCTGTACTACCAGCTGTAAGAGCGCTGTTACTAATCAGGTTTGGAATAAACTCAGTGGTTGTAGGTGATAGTAAAGGTGGTGTGGATGTACCAGAAGATGTAGAAGGATCCTTTTTGATAAATGCTTCTAAAGCTGGGAATCGAGCTAAGATAGATTTAAGATCCATTGCATGTGTTGAACTAGACGGAGATGATGGATTGGCATTAGCAGATTTTGCCAAGGACTGCATATAAGCTGCCATTGTTTTTGCTAAATCGAAAGTTGGGGATAAATGCTGTAGACTTGGAATACTGGAAGTCATTTGATGAAGTGCTGACAGATTAAGGTTTTGAATATTCATTGATTTTAAAATTTCGGCTGCAGATAATGTTGTTGTAGTAGTAGCTGGAAGAATATCAGCCATTTTCTTTGTTGTATTGGTATTGGTATTAATAGGTGTAAGTATGGGTGGGGTTTCCTTTTTGTCATCATCTTCAAATTTGACAAAATCTTCACCAATATCTGTATTCATTGTACTACTTGAGGTATTGATAACAGTTTCAGACTTTACCTTATTATCATCATTTGTAATTGTAGACTGTTTAGCAATCGAAGTTGAGGTATCAGAAGAAGATATAACTTGTGTTTTTGTTGATGGTTTATCTGTAGTAGTTTGATTATTTAGTTCAGAAGCATGATCGTCAGTTTTGTTTTTAAGATCCTTATTTTCATTTTCTAATTCCTTTTCATCCTCTTCGTCAATTTTATCGGCCACACCTCTAGCTGCACTTGCTAATAATACTTTTTGTAATAATGATTTATCATTGGGGCCAAGCATACTAGACGAAAAGCTTTTTCGTTGTGATCGAGTTGTCGATGAGGTAGTTGAACTAGCAAAATAGTTATCCAATTCTGATACAGATATTGATTCTGGAGTAGTTATATTAAATGGAATATGATGAGCAGTTGAAGGATCATGCAAAAAAACAGTATCAAAATCGTGTTCAAAGCTAAATGGAGTCCAAAGCTCTTGTTCACCAGAAAATCCACTACTAAATGAAAAGGAAGGCTTTCTTATTCCAAGACCTGTATTTGATGGTGAATTATTGTCTTGTGATGCTAGTCCTTTTGGTATTGTTGTATTTGGTGTTTCATGAGGATGGGTAATAATGTCGTGGTCATTCGATAATAATTTTTTAGTCACAGGTTCATTTTGAAAACGAATTGAAGATTGCCTTCGTGAATATCTTCTTCCAGTTATTGGATGTAAATTCAAGTCTAAATCAACATCACCTTTTAACATTTCTTCATGATAATCAGAGTGTTCACCTTCACTTTCTTCATCAGAATCATGTGTTAATATAGGTGAATAATATCCAGATTGAGAATCTTGTTGAATAGGATGTATTGATAATGACTCTGTAACAGGAGAAGGATGATGATTATTTAATTTATATTTCTTTGTCATCTTACTCTCTTCTGTGGTATTCTTTTCGTCCGATTCTTCTATTTCGTCGTCCACATCACTCCCTCTTTCTTCTTCTTCTTCCTCTTCTTCTCCTTGACTATCTATAACTGATTTTAATTTTCGTGTTTTCTTTCGTTTTAAAGAAGATGTGATTTTTATAATTGGTATCCTCTTAGTTTTGCTATTTGTACGTGTAGGATCTTGTGTAGGAATAGAGTTCGTGTCTTCTTCTGTACCTGCTGCGGTTATTATGTCATCCTCATTGTCGTGTGTTTCTGATACTGTATTACTGGATACAGATTCTGTTGTAGCTAATGAATAATTAATTTTTCTAGAATGATTTTGGTCTACATGTTTTGCTAATAATGGTGCTCTTGGTGGATTATGTTCAGCAGCTCGTTTAAAATGTTGAGATATTCGTGAAGAAACTGTTGCAAATGGCGTTGCTCCCCTACAAACACAGAATTAGCAATGTAACAGTAAATGTTGTCAGTATATGTATTTACCCAAGAGTGGCATATTTATGTTTAACAATAATGTTTGCTAATTCTTTTGGTGAACTTGGTTTATTTCCCATTTTTAGTAAAGCTTTCAAGATGGCTGTAAATACTTTATCTTTTGCATCGTCAGGATGAATTGGAACAGGCAAACCGCCATTTGCTTTTTGTGTATTGTCATGGCTACTTGATTTCTGGGCCATCGTAGGAGAAGTAAACTTATTTCTGTTTAAAAATGATTAAATAAATAAAATGACCGATAAATGTAGATAATAATAATAATAAAAAAAAAAAAAAAAAAAAAAAAAAAAAAAAAAAAAAAAAAAAAAAAAAAAAAACAGAAAAATGACAGAAAAGGAATGTTAATACAGCGGTTCACTTTCGTAGAACGCTAAATAAATTTTTCTTAAAATGCTCCCCCCAAATTTTAATACGCTTTTTCCTTTTATGTAAGACGCTTTTTCAATTTCGTAAGACACTTTTTTTTTTTTAATTTCTCAAGACGCTTTTTTAATTTACAACTAGAGATGCTTTCTCCTTTAAACATTTATAAAGGTCTATCTTTTTATTTTATTTTTTTATACTATCCCTTTTATTTCACAAAACTTTAAATATGTGTATACGAATATATTAGAAAAAGAGATTCAATAAAAGTAGGAAAATGTCGAATATACTTTCTAAAAGGTCATCTTTTATAATTATCTTATGTTCCCCTGGCTTATCACTATGAATAACAAGCCTAGCTATTTATTGGAACTATTTAATTATATTCAAAAAGTAAAATAAAATAAGCAATTTCGTTAAATTGAAACTTGTCAACAAGATTATTGTAACTTTGCATCATATACTATCATTTGTGTCATTGATCGTTTTAATCTTTTTTTTTTTTGTGCATTTCATTTATTCGAAATAGTAAATGAACTGGAAGAAATTTTAAATTTTAATTAATAAACCAAGCGTAGTAAAAAGGCCATTTTAGATATCTAAGCTACTGAAGTTTCTCATAAAAAAAAAAAAAATAGACTCAGTTCAAAAGCTTGTTATTCTTATGTGTATGGCATATTTCGCTAATACTACAAAATACTGTGGACAATGATTTTATGTAATCGGACTCCTTAGATAAACCTGAAATGTGGAATTTAGATATATTATCAATTTAAAGAAATCATTTAGAATAACTCACTATTAAAATTAGAAGAAAGATATACAAGTGTAAATATAATAATTGACAGCGATATGGTTGCCCCTTTATGTTGTCTGCTATTCTTTAATGATTTATTTCTACCAACTTATGACTGGTATTTAGAAGCTTTATCTCTACAGTATCAATTTAAACACTAGCAGGAGTGAATATGATAATAGTCTGACAGCATAAATATTTGCAGCTACATCCTATTCTATTTGCTTACCTGGAAAAAAAAAAAGTAATTAAATTCTATAGTGTCATTGTCATTAGTATTCGTATTTATTTATTTATGATGAAGATAGAGGGTACATGAATTATACTTTTCAGACTTGGTCACTTGATTGATATTATTGAGATTCTTATCAGTCTTATACATGTATACATATTACTGAGTACTGATAAAGTTTAACTTATTGGTGAGAGATAAATAATAATATCACCTTTTTTATTTTTAGTTTATTGCTGTAAATGACGGTTTTAGATACTGAAGGAATATTTACAAAGTTGTCCTCGTGAACAATCAGCTACACATTGCCCTAAAAGTTTAACTAAAAAGTCGGGCTGTCTTTCATTAAGCAGAAGATGCAAGCAAGTCATTTGAAAACCTAAAAGAGTCAATTATGCCATGAGAAATATTTGAAGTTCCATGGCAATAAATAAAACATAATATATCACTCTATTTATAAATTCTTAAAGAAACTTTGAATGATATATACAATAGAAGTCGCTCTATTGCAAATATGTATACTATACGCGTATCTATAAATTTATATTCATCAAATAAAAGATAAGAAATAGTTATTCATGTTTATTGAAACAATAATGGCACTAAAATGAAATTACTATTCACGATATGAGTGTAAAGTATGAAGTTGTATTTTGTGATCGATCTAATGATTAGATGGCTAGAGTGATAAAGTCTTACTAGATTAAAATACTAAGAATCAAACTTAAAGATAAGTTAAAGATCCAAACTGTTAAATGGAGAGAACGGTGTTGAATTGAAATGCTATCAAGTTAGGTTATAAATCCTCAATAGAGTATAGCTACTAACACTATTTCAAATGATATTCTGAGGGTCCTTAAATACAAACACTGTAAAAATGTATATATAAAAGAAAAAAATGCCCTTTTTCACTGTAAAAAAAAAATGTGGAGCAGCAAATAGGATGTGTAATAATAATGAATATACAACAGTATCTTGGAGACAAATTATTGAAATCCTATATTTATGTGTTTGTTTGTCAATTGCCTTATTCTTCTTTTCATAAATACAATTGAAGAAAGCTGTTAATAAATGCCTAAGCTTGTTATTCATAATGATAAGCCAGGGAAACCCCACATAAGGTAATTGTAAAAAAAAAATATCAAAAAACAATGTATAGAAGATGATATATATTCGACATTTTCTTAATTCTATTGAATCCTTCTTTATAGTGTTAAGCGAGAGGATAGTGTAAAACAATAAAAAAAATAGAGCAAAGAGAAAGGAGATAGTAAAAATAAAAAACGTCTTGAGATTATTATTTTTTTTTTTGGGGGGGGGAAGGGACTTACTAATAAAAACAACGGCTGTGTATAAGAGGGGCTTCATAAAGTTTTTAAACTGAATTTAAAACCAGTTTTTGATTTGCCTCGATTATGATAAATGATTTGGAACAAAGCAATGTTTCATTTCTTTTCGTTTTTTTTTTTTTCTTTTCTTATAAAAAAAAATAAGATGGAAATGTATTATTTTGATTATTGTACATGTGCATGCTTATGCTGTACAAACACGAAAAAATAAAATCTATATCATTGTATCATTTTTTAATAAATTAAAAGCTTTCTTTTTTTTTTAATTTCTTGATTTTGATTTTCTTTATTAAGGATGTCAAGTTACTGAAATTTTAAATCACGGTTTTTATCAACTAGTCATTTCTTATTCAGCAATTTCATATATTTTGCTTCCACACACATGGAATTACATTCTTTTACATGCTACCAGCTATTATGCCAAAATAAGCTTATTTAAAACTATATACATGTATCTTAATATCCCGTTGCTAATAATAATAGATTTAAGAGTTAAAAGGACTTGTATTCTTGATATTAAGATAAGTTGATAGCTTGCTTGTAGAATAATAATAATTCTTTCCCGTGTGTGTGTGTTTTTTTTTGTTATAAAATATATTTAAGCTCTTTTCAAGTTTATTTGGTAATGTTATATGAATAAGCTACTTAATTATGAAAACTAGGTTAAATCTTAATAATTGACTGTTTTCTATTCACTTTGCGAAATTAGCGAACAGCACATTTTATTATCATAATAAGTGTTGATAGATCAACATTTATCTAAATTCTGAACTTGAAATAATAATAATAATAACAAATTAGGAAATTATTTCAATGTACAATAAATTACTAGACAGTCATTAATCATTGTTAATACTGAGTATACGTTTAAATTCATATAAATTTATATACAATGAGATTGTCAATTCAAGACATCTTAAATGACACTCCTATTACGCCTTCTTAAACCACAACAATTACACTACTTCATCTTCTATATTCTCCTGATTACTTCTTTGTAAAGGATGACTAACAAGTTGCATTAGAGCCTTTGATAATTTGTCTTTTCCAAGAAATAAGCTCGCTTCATAATACCAACCCGGTACTATATTACTTTCAAATTCACCCCATGCATCATAGATCGCCTTTAAGGAATATTATTTATACTACGTTCAAAAAAATTGAATTATTTAATATAATAGTTACCTGTATTGATGTTGATAATTTACCATCATGTAAAAAGATGACATCAAATGTAAAATTGGGAGAATTGCGTATATCTGCATATTTCTTTTCGTTTATATCAAAAAGTGTGGGCATAGTTTGATCTCTACTGTAAATCAAAATTATTTGTGTAAAATAACTGGTGTCATTTAGATCAACATGTTTAGTAATCTCATCAAAGATAGAACGAGTATCTACATATAATGAACAACTATATCAAACTTTTTCCTTGAACTATGCCATCTTTACCTAATTTTTCGTATTTCCTTGTGGTTTCACCACAAAGTGTATCTATTGCTACAGTGAATTCATCTTGGTCTGTTGTAAAATCTAACCACTATATATACATGAATTAGTAACCCTTTCTTTTTTTTTTTTTTTTTTTTTTTGATCACATGTCTATATATGCATATTACCCATCGTGCTTTTTCAGAGAGTAGAATAATAGCATATTTATCATACTCATTTCCTAGTATTTTATTTACTTTCACAAATCGTTTCAAGAACCTTTGTATTGTTTCTAAGCGTGAACTTTTACAAAGTGAGTTAAACAGTATGGAATATGCTTCCTTTTTTATTTTATTTTTTATTTTTTCATTTTTTTTTTTCATTTTATTTACTACCTGTAGTATAAATTAGTATCTTTAATGCCAGTATTTATGGATGCCCGAAGCTCTTTATTCATTTCATTTGAAATGTCTATGCAAAATATCTATACCAAAGTAAGGTGACTGTCATTAAATATTACTAATATGTAATAATACTTACTATTTTTCTTGCAACATTATTGCAGAATACATGTTCTTCAGTTGTTGGTAATACATCTTCAAGATCTATAATTTCTATATTCGTTTGCATATTATGCAAAAAAAGTAAAAAAAAAAAAAAAAAAAAAAAAAAAAAAAAAAAAAAAAAAAAAAAAAGTAGTCTTTTTTGGATATTTTGTTCTCGCTTATATAATTTATTACGTAATAATTTTATTTTTATTTTATTTTATTTACTTGATCATTTTTAGGTATTAAGTGGCTCAATCTCATAGCTCATATTTTGGATTATATCTCTATCCAATGATGGAACTTTTAAACAAGTCTCCCAGAGTTCCATCTCACTGGATTCTTCAAAATAATACTTATTTGCTAAATTCTGGAAAACCAGGACGCGTTTGATAATTGTAGCTGTAATCCTATGTTTTCGAAAATGGACAAGAGGTTGTGAAAAGACACTATTGTATCCTCCCTTTTCATGATAGAGATAAGAAGGAAGCTCTGCATTAAAGATGAGGTCCGATAAATAGATGCCTAAAAAGGGTATACAGCCACCAAAGGGCAAACGAATGATTTCATCTTCTGTTACATGAGTCATTGTATCACGTAAATGTTTCCAGTTTTTGATAGGGGATGTAAACTGGGAGAGATCTTGTAGAGTTTTCATATGAAATTTATTGACTAAAGACCAAGTTTTTTCTAACCTTGAGACAGAAGGAGATTGTAAGCCAAGTAAGATTTGAATTAAAGAAGCAAAATTACAATAGAGTTTACATTTCTTGATACATCATAAATATATTATATTAATATATATATATATATATATTTTTTTGTTGTTGTACATGTAGAGTTGAACTTACTTTTGCTAAACGAATAAACTTTTCAATTAACTTGACACGCTGGGTTAGATATCGCGCTTGTACAATTTCACTAGATACCCATTGGCATACAGCATTAAAACGATTGATTGCCTTTTCTATGCCTCTTTCTTCATGATCTTGTTGTATTTCTGTTTGAGTATCATTATTCATTTCATCATCGTTATGAGTATGAAATGTAGTAGATGATGCCATCTTTGTCCATTGACAATCCACTAATTCTTCCCAGTTTATAGCAAGTAAAATATTTTTCTCAATTAAACAAAGCTGTTCTACTAGTAATGATGTTGAATATTTGAGTACGACGGATAAGCTATCTGTAGGCTGAGGATCCAAATCAATCTCTAGCATACGTGATTTTGGTATTGTTGTACGCTATATATGTATGTATATATATATACATCAATATGAGTATGAGTATAATAATAATATGAGTACAAATTGAATGTCTTTTTTTTTTTTTTTTTTTTCCTTTTCGGTTACCTCTTTTATTTTTTGTGGCAAAGAAAATCGTCGCGGTGATGAGGGTTGACTTGGAAATTGTCTTAACCTTGAATACGAGATAAATAACTTTTTAACATCTTGTTGTAGTTGATTTTGACTTGATATGAGAGGTGGTAATGGTTTTATTTTTGGATCCATGTCTGAAAGGTGAAGTGTCTTACTTTTCCTTTTGTGAACCATCATATCCTCTTTTTGTGAGTTGTAGGTGAAAGTTGTTTGATTCAAGTTTTTCTCTATTCTTACATTGTTTGTATTCACCGTAATGATATCACTCTTGGCTTTCAACACATTCAAACCTGAGGACTGCAAAGAATTGGACATGTGAGTTGATGTCATTGTTTTATTATATGAAGATGGACAACATTCTTCAAAATAATGATTTGAGGTGGTAAGGTGAGTGTTATCAGGTGTAGAGAGACCAGATGGAATAGCGAGTTGAGCATTATAAAAGGAATGTGGCCGATAATGATGAACAAAGGAGGATAGGTGAAATGATGGAGGAGGATTAAGTGGGTCGATGTTCGCTTTAGGATAGCTTCCAAAGTCAGTGTTTACAATAGGTTCTTCATCATTTTGCTCATATTGTAATTGATTCAACTTTGTAGTTAACTCATCACTCTTAATTTGAAGAAATGCTAGATGATTTTGCTCTTGTTCGCAACTTATTTTATCATTACTACTAAAGAGGGGAGGTAATAGACGATTCTCATCATTTGATGAAGCCCCTGAATCAAAAATAGTTTTAAGCGAATCAATTTCATTCAAATTATCTTGATTCTCATATTTACAACTAAGAAGAGAGGTATCTGAAATAGAATGTCTAGTTTCATACTTTATTGAATCAGCGACAATAGGATAAATCTCCTTTTTAATATGCTGTACGGCATTGAATTGATATTGATCTATCGAATTATCGTGAATCTGTCTATCCTCTTGTAATTCTGTCTGTTCTTTCAAAGAAAAGGAAAGAATATCAACATGTTGAGATGAAATACAATCATTCTTTTTTAAACGACAAAAGATTCGCTTTAATTCTTTAATGATTTGTTTATCTCTTGAAGAGTGTTTGATAGTAGAATGAAAAGACATTTCGTTTAAAAACTCTGTAAAAGCCATGACTAATTCTTCATTTGGTACAAAGTCATGCATAAAATAGTTTAATAGCCAATGTCTCAATACAACAAAAGTTCTATATGAAAAAGTAAAAAAAGTGAGAAAAAGAGAGAGAGAGAGAGAAAAGAACATGGATTACCTTATTCTAACAATGCGTCGTTTTTCTTCATTATTGACTAGACTCCATTTGAAGCGTAATATTAAAAATTTACAGAGTTGAAGAGATGTCATGAAAACTCGATAAATTAAAAAAAAGTCAGTCATGAAAGTGTAATCTACAAATAAAAACGCATAAATAACGATAACAAATGTAGATTATTATTTCTTTTTTTCTTTTTTTCCTAGTGACAATACCTAGTACAATTGTTAATTTTTCAATCAGTTTTTCAATTGTGGCAGCTTCAATTATACGATTGTTATTTTTCTCAGTATTTTGTATTGAAAGAGGAGAAAGATATTTAATTTTAGACTTGAAACTACTAGGAAGAATGTGATGAGCAGACCATCTTAATTTCTTTTTAATTAAAGTTGAGGAGCGACAATTTATATCGGGGCCCTCTGTTTGTTGCTGGTCAGTAGTGTTAGAACTCCATAAGATGAGTCGAGTATTTTCATCAGATTCAATTTGATCAAATATGGTTAAAGAGTAATTTGACAAGTCTGCAGGAGTAGTTAATAGTTGTTCCTGACTTGCTTTATTAGTATTAGTAAAACTATCGTTAGCAGGCATAAAGGAGAATGATTTTCGATTCATAATGCTAGAAACATCATCTCTTAGTAATACTTGTTTTAAGCCAGAAGGTACAATCATCTCTGATGTGTCACTCTCTTTGTCTTGCCAAACTATTTTTGACTCTTCTGTGTATTCTTCTACACCAAAGACAGCGGCTAATGCTGCTCTTTCTTTACTTCCAGCATTCTTTGTTGTGGATTCAAACGGTTTAACTGAGTTATTTCGTCTTTTTGAAGTTGATTTTCTTAACATAAGAATCTTAATTGTAAGAGGAAAGAAAAATTAAAATAAAATTAGACAAAAAGAAAAATAAAATAAAATAAAAAGGAAAAAAGAAAGGGGGCTTTTATGTTTTAATATTTATTTATTTTATTATTTTTTTTTAATTTGTTAGTACTAGAATCCCAAAGTACTTTTGTATTTCCTGATTTAAGAGCGGAACACTATATATAGACTCCAATTAATTATTTTTTTTTTCCTTCAAAATATACAAGTATCTTTATTTATATGTAAATGTCTATAATAAATTCTATATTAGAAACCTGAATAAACCCATTGACTAGCAATGCTATTCAGAAGCTGAGAGAAAGATGGCCATTTTTCAACAGCATTTGCTAAATCTAAAGTTTGGGGATCAACTGAAGTAACCTAAAACACACACACACACAAATAAATAAATATAATCATATACATGTGTGTATATATTAAAAAAAAAACAAATAAACACATACTGTTAATTCAGTTCGTTTTGCTAATTTATCTTGTTGTTCGATATGATTTAAGCATATTAAATTATCATTGAATATATATCTCTTTTTGTTTAAAAAGGTAATATCTGAAAGCATCATATTTTCATATTCTTTAGGTGCTGTAAATTCGTTATAACTGGCAAAAAAATAAGTATATATTTATATGTATACATAGATATATACTATAAAATGAATTGCTTACCTTAATAGTTCACATTGATTTATTAAGTTAGCCAACTCAGGCTTATCATTAGGGTTATATTCTTCATACTGCTTTGCTATTAATCGGATATCGATATTACTAATAACATGTATTAATACCAATTTTCTTTACTATACAAATGATTTGCTTATTACCCATGAACGCCTAAAACATCTACCATCGACCTTTTTTTTTCTCCGATTGTCCTCTTTACGTTTATATTACCGTTTTCGTCTATCACGAATTCAAGCTGTATTTTATTGTTATTATTCGAATATGCCACTTGTATAGATCTTTGATGAAATCCTTCATTTAACGTAAATGGTATAAAAGGTGCTGTCAATTGCCGAGGTGGAATTCTAAGCTTATTCTGGTTAAAATAATAATAATAATAAAAAGGAAATAAATATGGCTTTGCTATTTACGTGTTTAAGAATAATGTCCTATTTTTATAAAGATCCAGAATCGAATTGCTATTCATATTTCCATCGTTTTGAAATAACAAATATCCAAATCTATTCTCAAAACATTAGGTTTATTATATATAAAACATGTGTATTCAATTACCTTGCTTCTAAAGATATATCATTTAAAGTAGTATGTTCTTTAAAAGGCTTTAATAAGATGTCTTTTATATTTTCAAAACGTCCAATTCTAAGAACAAAAAAAAAAAAAAATAGTTAGACCTTACCATTCTCTCATGTACATAATTTTTATACATGTATATTTATATTACTTTTGTCCATCTACTAGTAACTTGAATTCATTTTCATTATCGATATTTTCCTGTTTAGTTCTAACCCAATTCAAATGCCTATCAAATATGGACATAGCAGATGAATCCTGTATAGGTAAAACAGTAAAATCAGATTGGTTTTGAACAATCGTGCTTTCTAACGCTTTTTGTTTATCTTCATCTGTCACAACTAGGTCCTTTAAGAGTAACTTTAACAGCTGTTTTGTATTAGATAGTTTTTCTTCAGACAAACTAAACAAAGAAAACTAATTGTAATGTATAAATAGATAGATAGATAGATAGATATAAAAAAAAAAGCCAAAATTACCTTATTATCATCTAATGAAATATAACTACCAGCTATCTTAGATGCATCTCCTAACGCATCGTTAATCTCTGACTGTAACTGTTCATTGTTTATCATTTGTGGAGGCAAGTCCATTTGACCCTCTACAATTGTTAACTGAGTATCAATTGCATGTTTCGCTACTTCAATTGCCTTTGAAGGCCCCTCGATAATATAAACAAAATTTTCCACATCAATCGTCACATTCACCTGATGGTCTTGTTCGATACGTCGAATCCCTTCACCCTCATCTGCAAAAATGAAAAATAACTCTTGTCGTGTAACAGCAAAGCTCTTTCTAACTCGATCCTTGAGTTTTTCCTTTTCTTCAAGTTGAACCTGTTCGTATGTTTTGATACCCCAATGACGTTGAATGATATTAGCCAGCATGTTCTTCTTTTTATCTTTATACCTCTGAGGTATTTTATTAGCACGTAAGAAATCTGCCAACTGACGTACAGTAAATCCATTATTAAGACGATTGTAAAGTTTATCCATTTCCGAGCTGCTTATTAATGTTGATTGAGGTTTAAGAGATCCGATCGATCGTATAACATCTCGAGAATCGCTCAATTGACGTTCACTGGGTCTTTCTAATGCAGCGACAAGCTCCTGAAGACGTTCATCAGGTAATAGTTCCTGTTTGGACACTTTTTGTTCCGCTAAGCGAGAATGTGAAATGGATAAAAAACGCCGTGATGTTATAATTGACTTGAATGACCGATTCCTAAGAATAAAAGACATGCTGGTTTTATGTATATTCATATGTATTTGTATATTAAAAAAAAAAAAAAAAAAAAAAAAAAAAAAAAAAAAAAAAAGAGGAGGTATAATGAATTTTTGCCAGGGTTTCCTAAGTAGAATTCGGAGTAAATATTGATTTTATAGGGCAAAAAGTTTATTTTATTGGGCAGCATAATATTGTTCCCATTATATACGCTGCTATATATTCAAACACTCTTTTAGGCACCCTTTATTAAATACATCTATATTACTCTGGTCATTTCAAGGAATGAAAAGTTAAAATTTTTTTCTCTGAGATTTGAGAATAAAAAAGGAAATTGTTGTACATTATCAAAGAGAGGAAGACAGTCAAGGTTGTCCTTGCCTGGATAGTGATAGGAAAGGAGAAAAAGGGACAATAAAAGTAGATCTTTAATCAATCACGTTTGTAGAGGACAACGCAACTAATTAAACGATAGACAAAGTAAGAAAAGACGCTAGAGCAAGAGGAAGGCAATTTACGTATAAGGAAGTGTGTCTAAAAGGTCAAGGGGTCTTCTAGTATCTGCAGAGCTGATAATGAATCTGGGAGATAGTGAATAAAATTGTTCGTTTGTTAACAATTATGCGCAGTGGCTTTGGGTAATAAGTTGAATGACGACTGAATATATTTATTACATTTTACAGAGACGATAATAGACTAGATGCATTAAGAGTAGTTTTTTTTATTAAGCCAAAACCTTGTTGGATGAGATAGGCTTTAATAGTCCTTTCCAAAATGTATTAATTGATAATAGTTTATATCATTGAAGTTTAGCATCAACATAACAAGTTATCAAATAATTCGGATACTGCTATCTGTCTCATTTTTCATATACTTTCATACAATTACTGAATACAACTAATACATATTTTGTTATAATAAGCGATTTACTTTCCTAATCATTATCAAAGGTACTATTGATAGTATAGACATTTACAAAAAAAAATCTTATGAGCCATTATCAGTATTATTCTTCAGTTACATAGAAACTCTACAGCTTTAAAGAAAGAGAAAATATAGCATCATATAAAAGGTTTTGATGAACAAAGAAGGGAAAGCAAGAATTATTGAAAATTAACATATTTGACATATAATAATAATAAATGGAGACAGCATATAAATTCATTTTCTTATAAATGATTTTTATATGTTTTAATGATTATTAAGATCAAGTCATTAAATATAATCTATGCTACTGAACAATTAAAAAGGCTCTCTAGAAGATGCTTAACTTGTAAATGGAAGGTTTATTAAGCAAAGAGATTCCAATTTTTAACCTGTAGTTTGTTTAAAATAGCCAGCATATCTTGCTTCACATTTTCAATATGAATGGCTTTCGTTTCATTGGCTGATTTTTGTTCACTACTCTTTGAATCCAATTGAATTGGTGCATTAATGGAAATAACGAAATCAGTTGAAACGTTCTTTAGTCTAACAACTACAAGCACGATATCAACTGTATTGAATGCATTTGTTTCATTAAATTTTGAGATCTTTTGAATGCCTTCCAACATGTAAACCTCAGTTGTATTGCATCTAGTAAAACAAACTCGTTAAACAAAGAAACTAAAACATATATTCTTTTATTTTTTATTTTTCTTACGGGAGAAGAGGAGAGGCAGTTTGTGGATTTAAAATATCAACTGTAGTAATTGACATCTCAGAAGCATCATTATCATCTGCCAATTGTTGAAAATGAAACCTAAAAAAAAGAAAGAAGCGTTTAAATAAATAATTGAACTTTCAGTTTCTATCTTACTTTGCAATTTCTTCATTGGTTGCTTCGACTTGCTCCAACAATTCAAAAATTAAACTTTGTTGTGTAGCCATGTCAACGAAAACTTCTTGATTATCTGGAATCTGTCGAAACTGACTTGTATTGAGTTAATTATTGTTTTAAATCAAGAAGATTAATGCTCACCTTGCATCAATGAAGGAATCTTGAACTGCAACTTCAATTGCACCACCAAATAATGGTTGTGTTTTCATGCTTTTATTTTATACAATGGAAAATGTATTTAGATAATACGCCAAAAAAAATAAATATTTTTGTATACATATTCTGAAGTTAAATTCTCCAGGTTAAAATTTTTACATATAATGTACGCATGCTAGCTGGGTCATAAAAAAGCGGGGACCTTATTTTTTTTTAAAAAAAAAAATAAAAGAAAAAGGTTACCCTTGTTCTCAATTAAAGATGTCTCAAGCTGTAGGAAATGTAAGTTTCTTATTTATTTTTTCTTTAAAAAAAAAGGAATTAAGGTAATATATTAATACCATTAGTAGACTGCCCTTGCTTATGCTCGTGTATGGCATGTGGTAGATGCGAAACAAAAAGTTTTAGGTCGATTAGCTACGAACATTGCAACTACATTAATGGGAAAGCACAAACCTATTTATGATCCTGCAGGTAAAAAAAGAAAAAAAGCTCTAACCAATAACGACTAACACTAGTTAATTAGCTGATTGTGGGGATTATGTTGTTGTAATTAATGCGAAGGACATTTTAGTTACAGGGAAAAAAGTCGAGCAAAAATTATATCGCCATCATACAATGCATCCTGGCGGATTAAAAGAAATCAAATTCAAAGATTTGCAAGCAAAAGATTCTACTGAGGCAAGTACTTTAGGATATTAAGTTTAACGTGACTAATTTATTGTATAGCCTCTACGTAAAGCTGTTTCTGGTATGCTACCCAAAAATAGACTTCGTGAAGTACGTTTAGATCGTTTAAAAATATTTGAAGGAAGCGAGCATCCTTATGAAGCAAATATTCTTAAACGCTATGGTATTGATAATAAATAACTATATTATTAATTATTGTTTTTTTTGTACATATAAATAAAGCTATTTTGCTTCTTGATTTGATATTTTTATGGAGAAGATTTATCCTCTTTCCCTTTTTTTTTTTTCTTTTTACAAAAAAATGATACAGAAGAAGAATAGATGAAGGATTACAGTCAAGCAGTTATGAGAAGGGGAAAGCATTGATACAGTATAGACTCGGGCTTTTTTTTCTTTTTTCGTTAAAATGAAATTAGTGTTGATTTTGTTCGAATCATGATGCAAATACTGTAAAGTAAATGTATTAAAAGAGTTGGGCATAATTTGTTAGCCATTTAATTTTAAAAGGAAAGAAAAGAGACGATTCATTGTGTATTAGAATAACTAAAACAAATCATGCATAGTTTTATTTCTTAAGGGATCAATATACTGGTATCAACTTTAAATATTAAAACAAATTATAATCGTCCATTGATAAGCGTTTTAACTTTTTCTTATGTCCTTCTTCAACTGCACAATCATCACAGTACCATTTCCCTACAGGTGGTTCTGCTAATCCAACACAAGCATAATGAAACCATTCTTTTTCACACTATAAAGATAATGTAAGTGAAGTGAATATCCTACACATCATGTACATGTTACTTACGCTTTCACCATCACAAGCCACCATATCACCATAGGATACTTGGTTACAATAACAATACTTTGGTTCATTTGGGTCGATATCTAATTCTGGAAGAATGCCATTCTGCTCTAACATTGGATTAGGTCGAGAAGAATGAAGAGTTCTATTGCACGACATTTAGTTTAAGAGGGAGAGCTTTTATTTATTTAATTATTTTATACTCACCTTTTTCGTGCTGATAATATACCATGCGGTGAAGGTCTTTTGCGTTGATGATCTAATTTCCAATCTTCAGTCCAATTAGCTTGCTTTCTCCCTGCTAGCCAATCCAAATCACTTATATCGGTTTTAGCCATTTGTGAATCAATACGTTCAATATGTCGATTAACAAGATCATACATTCGCTTTGTTAAACTGATCTTTTGATCTTGCTTTTGTACTGCTAATTTATAATCTTTTTCGAGTTGGAGTCTAGCTTGAGCTAGAGTAGTCGGTGAAGAAGAATCCGATGATGAATTTTGATTATTTAATGCTTTACATATTCTAGTGTATGAGCGTTTATGTTTTGAGTAGATTTCTTTAAATCCTATACATGTATATAAATATATAAAAGTAAGAATAATCCCATTTCTAAATGTTATATTTTATGTAAACTCATTTTATGTACACAATACGTTGAAATTCTTCATCCATACTTCTTAATTCATGCATGTTTTGATCAATTTCTGAAGGTAAATTTTGCAAGCCTATAAAAATAAATAAATGCATCCATTGTTAAAATGCCATAAAATAGTCAGAATTGCATTTTAAATTTATGTAATGGAATTTACTTTCTACATAATCTTCAAAGATGTCGGCTACAGAAGTACTCATATTCACTTCAAATTATTACAAATACAATGAATGATAGTAAAAAAGAAGAAAAAGAAAAAAAAAAAAATAATGTTGAAACATTTATATTTTTTAGAAAAAACTTAAAAAAAATAATTAAATAACCGAATTAAGAATAAAGTGTCTGAAACTGTATTCTCCCTGATATAGATTAAAAGGCACAGAAAGAAGCGAATCGTATTTTTAAGGTCAAGAAAAAAAAAAAAAGGAAGCTTCTCTCTATAAAAGATAATAAATTTACAATTAGAGAAAAAAAAACCTTTCTGTACAAGCATTAATTTGATTGTTGAGGCAAGGTAAATCTTAAGAATTAATATCTATGAATCAGACTTTGTTGGAAATAGATAGCATCAGCCAAGTTTAATATAGATTATTTCAAACCCACTAGAAAATGGAGCTATTGCTATTGATTTGAAGTCAATAAATTACAATGTAGAGTGTTCTCTGATAACAAACATAAATACACATGATAATAAAGTTCAAACCTTACGAGAAAAAACGCAATTTAATGATAAATATGCTGGAAAATTACTTCAAAAGAAATCAATCAAGATCCTAGTCAAATTATTTTGAGGCTATATACGTTACTTTTATTAGATTAACAGTAAGTTTTCAAATTGTATTTTCACTCTATTACTAGCCAATTGGTAAAACGAGTCATCATTAACAGTAATATATTATTTATAGACTCGAGGCAGTTTTATAATGAATCACTCAAATATAATTTGTAAAACCATATCTATAAAGTAGTAGCAGAGAGAATTATCGAAGCTGTGTACAATAGGTTCAACTATATTAGCTATAAAGGTATGTTTACTTGTATTACAGAGGAGGTATGAAAAAAAGAAAAAATAAATAGCCTTATGATTCCTCATCAAATAAAAGACACTATAAAACCTTATTACTAAATTTCATTATCTGATTCTCACGAAAATGCTTCTTGTTACCTGATACATACTCACTGAATATCGAGATAAGTGGCTAAATTACCATGAATATGTCATTAAATAATTCTTTCTTTCTTTAGACTTTTCTGTATTTCTTTAAAGTTGAGGGAAGCGGGAAGGGTTATTGAAAGTTTGTTAATTCATATTAAAACAAGGTTATTCAAAGAAATACAATGAAAAAACAAAATAAAAAAATAAGCTTAAATTTATTCATTATCTAAAAAGCTCTATTAAGTTCCTCATCATTGTCTGATAAATCTTCTTCTGATGATAGCTCGTTTATTTCTGTTAATGGCTGAAGTACATCAAATTCATATCCTGGTTTTCTTTCATCACTTGAGGCCTTCCATCCATGTCGTTTATAAAAATAAATACCCAAGGCAATAGTAAAGATAGCAATTGATCCTATAACGCTATAGACAATAGTTAAATAATCCTTTGATTCTTCATTAACATTAACATTTGTGGGAGTACTGGTTTCAATAAAAGTTGTTGTAGTAGTCGTCATTGGAGATGTATTAGCATTCGATGGTTTTATACGTGTGGGCCTTGACGGTGTATTATCTATTGTTGTCGTTGTTGATATAGTGGAAGTTGAAGTAGATATTTCTTCATGTTCATTATCATGATGAATACTAGTGGATGAATGGATAGGAGTTCCTTTAAAAAGAGGATCCTGCTCCCCATATAATGTTAATGTCCAATTTAATAAATGTCCCTTAGCTTCTGGATTATCTACATCATATACAGCCAGTGTCCAATTACCCACAGGGTTTTCTTCCCTTCATATACAAATATGAGTATAATCACAAATACGCATTATGTATTATACTATACTTACCAATGTTTAACACTCATAAATTTCCAATTTTTTATACCATTCTTGTTTAAATCCAAGCTACGTCGAGTCGCTAGTTCAGATTCTACATTATTTGGACTTATCAAGTTAATTACAATATTACCACGTCGTTGATGCTCAATATTAACAGTAGCCGTAATATGTTCTAATCGAAGCAGTCCAGCTGCTTTTATCATTTCTTCTGTTACTAATATAGTACTTCTCAATGCTTTTCTTGTCTTTAAACCTGTAGAATCGGGTATCGCTCTCTTCTTTAGAGGACTTGGTAATTCCAACCAAGTTTGTTTATTAACCAATTCAAATACCTTTGCAGCTTCAATTAGCTTATAAGCGTCTAATTTACCGTATCCAAATTTATGATTATATAATCTTCCAGAAGGTAGTTTTTTCCAATCATCATCACCTGTATTTATAGGGATAGCTGTCTGTACACATAAATGTTGTAAATCTCTCCAAGTTAAATCAGGTCTTACGGAAAGAACAAGAGCAAAGATGCCAGCTGCATTTGGAGCTGCAGCTGATGTACCACCATGTCTATCTGAGCAACTATTTTCACCGACATCTGTCGTATGCTAAAAAAAAAAATGTAAATATTTACTTTATATTAATATTAATTAAATTACCTACAATATACTCTCCTCCACCACTTGAATAAGTTACGACTAATTGCGCAGAACAACTTTCAGAATAAGGTGGGTGCTGATTTGTGTGATCAATAGCCCCCACAGTAATGGTGTATATACTATTTGTATATCCGTCAAAATTACAATTATCATCTGAAATAGCCCCATTTCCAGTAGCAAAAACATAAATGGAACCTTTGCCGCCACGTCCATTGTTAATTCCATTTAAAAATGCATCTGCCAAGATACCATTGGGTGCTTCCATTGTTTGTCCGTTATCAGATGGACCCCAAGAACATGAAAATATATGATTTTTTTGATATTCATAGTTCAATGCAATTGCTTCATCTGCATCTGTTAAATCTCCAGACAAAATACGTACACCAGCTACTTTAGCTTCATATGCAATACCCATACCACAAACATTATTTTTTACTGCTGCAATTTGTCCTGCACATCTTGTACCATGGTTATCGTCCCAAAGTTTAGGTTTAGGTAAGGATTCATGATCATTAAAATCATAGGAGCCTTCAGCAAACTATTTTTTTTTAAAAAAAAAAAAAAATGAGCTACAGTCTCTTTATAATGTACATATCACTTACAAAATTATCAGCAAGATCTTTGCTCATATAATCCAAACCATCGTCCAGAATAACAACATTTACACCTTTTCCAGTAATACCTAACGTTCAAGAGAAAGCCTTAATTTTATATTTTTATATATATGAGTTATGGCTTATTTGTTATTTACCTTGTTCCCATACTCCAGTGACATTGATGTCGTTACCAGGATATTCTTGATTAATCTAACACATGTAAATAACTTGAATATTTATAGATATCATATTAAACTTACATACCAAATGCCATTGTTTATCGAACAAAGGGTCTGTAATATTTAATAATTTTTGTACATTCATAAATTCATTTGGTATTGGTCCACGTTTTGTACGCCTTTTTAAAACTTGCTTATTGATACTTTTCACTTTTTGCCAATGAATGTCTCTTTTCATTAACGATTGTGTCTTTAGTCGTTCAAATTTAGCAAGAATGTCATCATCTCTTTTATTCAATCGTGGCTTGGGGACACTGACCATAAACCAGGAATCTAGTTCACCAATATATCCCTCATATCGTACACCTAGTTGATTTGCTATGTATTTGATTGACTCGTAGCCATCATTACTGGGTATATTGATTGTATAATAATCACGTTCTGCTTCTCTCTTTCCCATATATCTTTGAGCTTCAGTTAAAGTAACTACCGATGCAATGACCATTGCAATCGCCCTTAAATTAAGATTAACCATTTGTGCAAAGAAAGAAAGAAAAAAAAAGCTATAAGGAAAATCTTGTCCCCTCCCAAAAATAAATTATAATAATATTTTAAAGTGAAACATTCCATATTCGGAGATTTCCTTTTATGACTAAACAATAAAAGCAGTGCATTCTCATTAAAATAGCTTAGTATGTTATCATCCTGGTCGAATCAGAATAAACTGACACCTCTTTTTAGATCAAAGTATCAAAATGCAATAGATAAGTGAACTAATAGGAAATAAGTAAAAGTAAAAATTAAAAAGTAGTGGTTCGAATAGATCAGATAAGACACAAAATACAAGTGTGCTATTTAGTTAAAATAACAGCTATTTGGTACAAAACAACAATATCCGGATCAGGATCTTTTTTTTTTTTTTTTTTTTTTTTAGAATCGTTAATTTCAAGACATTCTTATAAGTGTTGTATTAGATTTCTAGTTTTTACAGTTGAGATTATCAATATGGTTGACTCTTAAAATGGTCTAAATCAGGCTCCTCAGCCATTCTCCCAGCAATTTCACTCTTCATTGTAGAGCGTAAAGAATATGTAGAAAATGGAAATAGAAAAGAATTTAATCATAACTTAAAAATTAAACTTTACATACAAAGGGAAATGAGATTTAATAAATTTATCTGATTTATTAATCTAGATTAATATTCAAGTGCTCGTCTTTTTTTTCTCTAGCATTATGAGTAAAATCAGACTCTTTGTTAATAACACCTTTACTAAATAATAAATTAGTATTATCTTCAGATTTAACTATCTTCATTGGCTCGGCAACAAACTCTAGACCTACATCTAGCTTGTCAGACTTATCTTGAACAGGGATTGTGGAAGTAGTGTTATCGAACCTAATAGATATATAAAATTTAATATTTGTATTCAATATGCATCTATATATTACCATTCGCAACGTAAGTCCCAGGTAGAACGCCATGTGGCTTTTAAACAATTTTCTTTAGACCAAGGTTCAGCGTATATAATTGGAATAAAAATACGATAAACATAGACAATCATCATTATACAGACTATCATAAAAGACCAACGAGCAGGAGTGGAGAATTTACTGGTAAATAATTCAAAAAAGACGCCACTCATCAATACGGCCATATAAAGTGAAGGCATATAATGATGAAGGAATAGTTGACGTTTCATTAAATTGAAAGGAAAATAATGGAGTGCCCATGAAATAAAAAAGAACCCCATTATAGAATCATATCTGGACAAGTTAACTTGTAGAGGAATAGATATACAACGTTTAGCAAGTACAAAAATGAACACCTTATACATTACATATGTAAATACACAAGCTGTAGATACCCAATAAATAAGAGGATTTCCAAGTAAATAGACCCTTAAATGATCTTTAGACCAAAAACTAATACCTCGCTTTAATAATGGCCAGTCCTAAACAGACATTTTTATAAGTTTAACTTTATATTATATCTATCTATAGATTACCTTAGGCCTTGAACCATACATATGAACTGAAGACAGGCCTTTATTAACATTCCACATCACCTTATTTAATTCTAAAAATTTGCCAAAAAATCCTTTATGTTCATACTCTACAACTTCTGCATTTTCAGGCACTATTAAAGATGATTAACAATAACAATAAAAAAAGGAAAGGAAAAAAAAATAAAAAAAAAAAACTTACAAAGGTCACTTTCAGTACTTTCAATTCTCCAAATAGTTTTAGGATAAAGTGCGTCTCTCATACATGTCACTTCCTGCTGTTTAAAACCCCATTCCGGTAATTTAAATTTACGTGAAAAAAGTGCACAATTTTGAGTGACAGAAACCAAACGAAATTGAGAACGACGAGCACGAAGTCGTTCGCCCGCAAATGGATCAGGACCATCATAGTTTATGATCTCAACACGCCAATTATCATTGCTATCCCCTTGAAAACCTTTAAATCCGTACGAACTTTTTTTTTTTGGTAAATTAGATTTATAAAGCAATATAGTTAAATTAGTTATATACCTTACTTCATATTGATATTTTTCATCATTTGTAATAGGTCTAATATCATGGGTGTGAAGGCGTCTATGAGTCTTAAGATGTGTAAGACGTACAATATCTCCATGCTTAACGTATTCAAGATCATTCACATCATCTGTATCTGCCTTGTTAATTATCCACCAATTATTATCATCAATATGAGAATAGAGTGTAACTTGTTGCTCTACACACAATATGTATATATAAATAAAAAAAAAATAAGTCAAAATTCATTTTTTTTTCATTTTATACACGATAAATTACGATTGCTTCCACCAGGATATGAATGCTCATGAGAATGAAGATAACCACCATTTGTTCCCATATGCTTGATACTAATTTTGGCTCCATATACAATATCTACAAATCCCCGGAAAAAACAATTAATAAATATTTGTATATGTGCATTTATATATGTATATAGTGTATACCGGCAAATGTGCTTTCAGGGAATTTTACGCCTTGCAAAGAAGTTTGAAACTCAGATGACATATGACTAGTGCCAGTTCCAGATAAAGGAAGCATATTAAAATGAATTTCGAAGCAAGTAGCATAGATGATAAAAGGAATAAGAATTAAACATATAAAATAGGCCAAGAAGTGTTTTACTAGTTCAATCTACTAATAAAATCAGAAATTAAAATATCTATAAATGACTTATTAACTACTAACCACTTTGATTTTTTGATTTCCCCATAGATCCCACAAATTCTTTATGACAGCTAAACCAATTGTAGCCATGGTAAACAATCCAACCCATTTACAACTCACAGTAAGTCCTATACCGACACCTGTTAAAATAAGCCAAATCCACCACCAGAATTTATATCGTTGATTTGCTTGATTGCGAAAATTAATCCACATCAAAAGTGTAAAAGCGATAAAGTATAATAAAATAGAATCCAATAGAATCAAACGATTGTTTGTAATTAAGCTGTTTTCTAATAGCAAATATGCATGTAAATACCTATTGCTTATTTTTATAGATTTCTGTATATATTACCATAACAAATCATTAAAGCTGTCAAAATAGCAGTCGGTCTAGAAAATCCAGAATTACGCATTGTCCAGTAAGCAATAGGTACCACCATAACACCATTTAAAGCACAAAAAGCACGGATTTGTACATAAGGTACTTTTGGTTTAAGATAGTCTCTATTATATACATATATCGTTATTAGTCTACATGTCAAATCAAGTTTAGATCATTAGATTTACTTTCCGATTTCCTTAAAATCAAATTGTCCATCAAAACCAACTATCTCAGCAGCCCAAGTAATTAACAATTTCGCCAACTACAAAAGTAGTTAATTACTCTATTTGTTACAATAGTAATTCATGTTTAACTTACTGGAGGATGAACATCCATAAAAAATTTTTTATTAATATATTTGCTAGCGAAACCGCCAAAATGGACCTCATCAAATCTAAAAAAAAAAAAAAAAAAAAAAAAAAAAAAAAAAAAAATTAACTATCGTTATCTATGTGTTGATATTAAAGAAACTTTACACTACTGATGAAGGTTGTGAAATCCTCCACAATCTAATATAACATGTCCAAATTGTCAAAATGATAGAAATAACCCAGTCGATCCTTTTTTGGAAAATAGTAATTTTATGGATTTTCGTTTTTTTTTCTTCTACAACCATTTTGTTGACATCATTTGAGATGCTCTTGGTAACATGACGATGTTTAAGTTGGTCTTTGTTAAGGAACGAAGCTCCTGTAGACCAACTCATTTTAATATTAATTTTTTTTTTATATTTATAACTTGGTTGATAGTTTAAAAAAAATTAAAAAAAAAATGTTTTTTAAATGCTGATCGGATCTGACATTGATTTTGTTGATCGTTGCAGTTTGTTAATACTTTTACAAAAATATCTCCCGGCTCTAAATAATATAAACTAATACATTGTTTGGTCTTCTTCCTACCTGACTTATCAAAAAGAAGCCTCTAGAAACTATAATTATAAAGCTTAGTTTATGATATAAATAGACAAATAGCAAAGGAATCTCGTTCAGTCGCGGTCTTCACGTTTCTGTACTTTCAATTTCAATTACTTGTTCAAACAATCATTAATATAATTAAAGATGTAATTAAGGCTAAAGTGTAAATACCCGACGATACGTTTTATAGTCTTTCTGTTAACGTATAGTAAGAACAATTTTCTATAAGAAAAAGAAAAAGTTTTTTAAGCAAGAATATATGAGATAGTAGCAGACGAACATTTAGCATTGCTATAACTAGAATATTTTCTATGAACTAATATTGATGTGTTACTGCTTACTCTAAAAACAATATAATAATGACAGTTCAAGTAAAAAAAAAAAAAAAAAAATGATATTCTATGAATGTAAAGTAACAATGTCACATGATTCTTTATTACACCAGTCTTTATTTGCCTTTTAATACAACTTACTTTGTAAAAACATATAAATAGCTCTCTTTATTTTTTATTTTTTTTATCTTATTTTTCCCGCTAGAGTTTTTGTATTATTAATTCTTTAATAAACTATACGAAGCTTTCATAGACTTATCTTTCTGATTTATATTCTCCTTTATTTTATTTTTTTTACTACTCAAAACAGTTGCCATTTTCTTTAAAAATTATTTCCTTAACCGCTTTCAAAGTAAGACTGAAAGCTTATATTAAGATTATACGTATCACTGAATTAAATGAAAGAGAACCAGATATTAGAAATGCAAAATATTAACTGTCCTAAAGAAGGTTTGTCATATTTTTTTCCCAATAAATGCAATATCATTTTGAAAAAAAAAAAAAAAAAAAAAAAAAAAAAAAAAAGGTGTATAGCAAATTTCTTTATCTTTCTTAATATTAAATTTAACATAAGCTGAATCTGTTCTTAGGACAATATAAAAGAAATATCTAGATTTTCCAATTTTATGGCGCAATTTGTTCATTTACTATACTTTGGTATTAATCGTTATTAATATAATAGTGCAAACGATGTCTTATATTTGACCAAACCTTTAAAAGTATCAAATTAATTCAAGACTTTAGTAGAAATTACTTATTAATAACTATAACTATATGATGGCACTTTATCATTAAAGGATGAAGAATATAAGGCTTTAAAAATAATCAATAGTTGTGACAATAAAGAAGATATATATAGGCCAGTTCAAAGTATTAGTTCAGTTTCTGATGATTCTGATTTTCTGTGTATAAAAATGGCAGTACAGAAACGGCAAGTATTTTAATGACTTTGTAGTTTTTAAAGAATATTAATATTTTTGATACCGTATATTAACTGTTAACTCTGACATACATAGTAACATCTTAAAAGGCTTCCATAACGAAAGTCTGGTGGTATCGCTTTAATAGTTTTTATAGAGCCCTTTTTGGCTTTATTTTCATCGGCCTGTCTAGTTTTGAAACAAAGAGGTATAAAATATGTTCAGAATAATGATATCAAGAAACTACAACTTCAGCAGATTTTCGATTTGCAACTCTATTTTTCTTATAGAGCAGATTAAAGGACTATCTGGTAAGCTATTAGTTTCCAGATTTCTATTTTAAAAGCCTTTCTTTTTTTTTTTTTTTTTTGAACATTATCTTAATAAGTAATCTTGAAATTATTATTGTATTTTTTATTCCTTTTTTTTTTCTCTATTATGCCTTTGTGTAGGCAAAATTAACATTTTACATCCAGATTTCTTTATTGTGAACTATTGAATTGTCACTTCTATTCACGCATTTATGAAAAGCTTGCCAATTACAAGAATTATTACTGTTAAAAACAGGAGAATAGATTGTTTTATTTATTTATATAAAGAATTATGTACAAGAAAAAACAATCAAGAATGATATATTTTCAAGATATTAGAAAGTTATAATTAAGCTTTTTCTTTAATAGATTTTCCAGTTTCACTAACTTTTTCACCAACATTCTTTTGAATTTCATGACCCTTTTCAATAGCTGCATCTTTAGTAGCCTCGGCTTTTGCGCCTAAATATGCTTTCCCTTCCTCGTATTTATCTTTTGCTTCATCAGCTTTTTCATTTACAGCATTACGTGCATATTGCTTTCCCTCTTCATACTTTTCCTTGGCTTGGTCAGCTTTTTCGTTCAAAGCTTCACGAGCATTCATCTTTTCCTGCTCATATTTAGTATTCATTTCATCTGCCTTATTGTTAAGCTGTTCTTTAGCTGTTTCAATTTTATTGTCAGCAATTCTACCGGCTTTTTCGAAAGTACCTCTTTTGGTTTCTAATATGAGTTTATTTTAGTATTCTTTGTTTTCTTTTTTCGCCTTAATTCTATCTGACACTCGTAATAATTACCTGCATTTCTCTTATACATATAATAGCCAACACCACCAGCCGCAGCTAAACCTAACCAGATTCCAGCATTACTATTTGAACTGGGTTTATTATGATGTGAAGGAGGAGGAGGAGGAGGAGGAGGAGGAGCAGTAGTAGTGGCATATAAACGCTTTTTGGAAGCAGTAATATTATAACGAACAGAGTTTCTTAAGACAGATAACATTTTTTTTATGAATTTTAATAATAAAAAAGTAAAAGAAATTCAACTATTCAAAGTCTATTTATATGTTCACTTATATATATACCAAAAAAAAAGAAGAATTATGCTAAAAGATTTATGTGGTCATAATTGCATTCTAAGATAAACCTTTTTTTTTTATGTATGTAGTATACGAACTCAGTTTGAAAAATGACGTAAATGTTACTGTAAATCTTTCTCCACAAAAAAAAATTATAAAAATGACTAATAAGCAAGTAACCGTTCAATTGCGCTGTATTACCCTAGCCAGCTATAAAAAAAAATGGAGATCAAAATGAACAAATGCGGAAGAAAAGGAATCAAAAGTTATATAAATATACTAGCTTGTTACGAGGACAACTAATACATTAGTTTGACACCAAAATTGACGAGAGAAAGAGAAAGTGTTTGAAATAAATGTAAAACGGTACAGATTACCGGTCAACAAGTTAACCAAGAAGAAAGTAAGTGTAAAAAACGTTGGTTTATTCAATGCTATTTAGTCGAGAAAAAAAGAAAAGTGAATCAGCAATAGTTCATGGCACTTGGAGTTGATGATACATATGGATACATTAGATAGAGTAATGACGTGTTAAATTATCATAAAGACATGGCTGAGGAATACCATTGGTAATAAACTACACGACTATGCTCAAAGTGGGTCATTGATATCCAAAAGATTAGATCCCATTCCAAAGAAGAATGTCAAACTGAGAATCATTTGGAGTGGATGCAACTACGAAGACGAGTAAAGTTATATTGTAAGAATTATTAATGAAACTGCTTGAAAGTATGGTGAGCTAGAGTATTTAATACTAGAGTACTCAATTGCCTGAAAAGACGCTTTGTATTGATGTAAATGATTAGTGAGAAATAAGAAATATGTTTAAAAAATCCTAAATTGAACACAAGATATAATTATATCAAAAAAATGAAAAACAAGAAAAGAAGTTATAAAAGTGTAGTTATGACTCAATTAATGAGGGGGGAAATAAAGAAATGCCATGCTTCCATATCAAATTGTCGGATTTTGACATTTTACTTGAATATGGCTTCATAGTTTGTTTGTTTGTTTTTTTTCAATTTGTTATGATAGTATCCATGTTGATTGTTGTAATTGCTCTGATTGAATAACAGACATGCTCGAAAAAAAAATAGACAAAAATGAGAATTATATGCCGGAGGTAGTTTTATTTTGAAATTTAGAATGAGCATTAACTGTGATGGAATAGAGTATATAATCAAAAATAAAAATTGAAAGATAAAGAGAAAGAGAATTTAATGAGGAAAATATGAATGTTCAGGTGGATAATGATGTTTATTTGATTCTACAGTTGTATAATATGAACACTAAACAGATAGTTAGTACATTTCTACTTTATATCTGTTAGAAAACCAGAAGCCATCTAGCTTTACATTTTTTAATATATTTTGAATACTTGTTTATTTTTATTTTATTTTTTATTTACTGTACTATTTTGGTTAATTATCTGTATTACTTTAGCAATACTCCTACAGAAGCGCCTAGAATCGGGTAAAGTAGGCCACCCCCAAAAATAATTTTTTTTTTTTTTTTTTTTTTTTTTTTTTTTTTTTTTTTTTTTTTTTTAGTTAATTAGGCTCACAGTTTGTTTAAGTTAAACCTCGTTTTTATTCCAGCATAAACTTAGATTCAGTTTTATAGCAAGCTCCATTATTACATTATCAGTTGACGTGTTTTACTTAGAAGTGTTACAAAAAGCTTAGTCATTTATTATTATTTATTGACACTATATCACTGATGATGTTATACATTTTGGCAATAAGAAAAATGCTCGCATTTATGAATGTATTACATTAAGACTTGATAGAAAAATCTGTTGTGTATTTATAAATAAATGCATAGAATACACAGCTGTCTTAAATTAAGCCCTCTTCTTTTTATAAATAAATTTTATATTCCATAAAAATCACCATTATTTATTAGAATATGATTATATCAATAAACAAATATAGAAAATAAAAACAATTTCGTAAAACAAAACAAAAGAAAAAAAAAAAGGTCATCTGCATTTGCTTAGCAAACATTGGCTTTTATTTTTTATACTTGTAAACACATTGTTTTGATTTTCATGGATTAGTCATTTGAAGTATCTTCAAAATTATGCAGTATGAATCGTTATTTTTACTAAAGTTCCAAATTTGTGTAATAGAATAGAATTGGTATTTGTAGGATAAAATTACTTAATGCTGTATTAAATTGTTTCATAATTAGTTATTTTTTCTTTTTTGGACAGTAAATGATGGATAGGAAAGAAAGGATAAATAATTTCCGATCGTTCTGGATAATTTGCAACTTTTGACATTCACATAATTAAAAACTAACATTGATACGATACAAACTTTTAAGGCATAATTGAAATAGTACACGAACTATTAAAATACAAACGAAACTGTCGGGTATATATACTAACCATAATTGATGAAAAGCATATGCAGCCAATAAATGATATCAGTAAGTGAATTAAAAAAAAATAAACAGATATTTGAATACTACTTGAATAGAAAAAGGTTTATCATATTGAATAATATTAATATTGCCGTTGTAAATAATATAGATGTATGCCCTATTGTTAGCTTTTTTTTTTACTATCACTTATTCTGAACTTTGTTAAGATAATAACCGTGATTATGATAAGAAAATAGTGTGCTATTCATACAACTTGATGAAGCAATATTTTATGTGTAAAATAAAGTTTAATTGACATATTGATGTAAAATTTACAGTCAGGAACAATTTTATATAACTGGGATTCTTAACAATCCAAAAGGAGATGTAAGAAGCAGATTACAACTTTATCATTGGTTAAATGGTTTTTGGTGGTTGCTGATCATTTACCATTTAACTGTCCAAGTTTTAGTAGAAAACTAAAAATTAAGAGTTAGGAAAAAAGAAAGTTTTGATATGGTTGATTAATTAGTAATTTACTCGGTTGTAAAAGTTGACTTTTACCTGGTGAAAGTCAACTTTTGTTTAAAAGAAATGTATGAAACGGCAGTCAACTGTCACTAAATATTTGCATCACAAAGTTTCTATTGAAGGATTCTATAATGTTTCTATTATCAATAAAAATAAAATAAAATAAAATCTCTAATCACTTTCATAAAGTTTAAAGTTATCAATGATATATGGCAAAATTTACCAAAGAAATTTAATTATACAGTAACTATTACAATAAACTAATTCAAGTTATTTTAAATTAACTTCAATTAAGTTATAACATAAAGATTAATATTAATTAAACAACTGGTTAGCAACCTCTAGTGTTAACAGACATTTTTGAGGATCGTATTTGATGGTTGACTTACTTTCTTCCAGTGTTCAAATAAACTAGGCTTTTTTTTTTCTTAGAAAAAGTAGCATTAAACTCACCAAGAATAAAAAATAGTCTTTTTTTTTTTTTTTTTTGAAAACATGTTGCTACGTTATTTTTGAATGTATGTTTTAAACTGCATATAAATTTATATAAAAGTTCAATTGTTTGTTTTTCCATTACATACAGTTACCAATAATTGTACTTTCGTTAACAGAGTTTTTTTTTTTTTTTTTTTTTTTCTTTTAGTGGCAAAATTGAGCACAGATTTGGATGGGGTGGCAAGGATAACGTATCACATAGTTTTTGATGATCAATCGGAAAAAAGATCTATGTATATTTTTTACTAAGCTCCGCAGGAGTAAAGAGGAGGGAGAGTTAAAGAGTGTTTTAGACTTTGCGTCGAAAATCAAAAAAAAAAAAAAGAAGTTGGAATAAGATCAAAATAAAGGAGGAAATAAAGGAAAACAGGGATATATATGATATTCTAGAGGGGTAGAATACATCTATAAAGAAATGATAAGAAGCTGTAATTGACAGTCAATAAGATGATTGAGCATGACCAATAGTTTTATTAAAAAAAACGACACTTTAAAGTTAAAATCTTATTTACTTTGAGTGATACTTTACTCAATTTAGAATTGCATACAAAAATGTTACCCATGTTTTTTTCTGATTATAAAGTACTCTATTTTTCTTAAAATACCTTTTTTTATGTTTTAGCTGAGAATTTTTTTTTTTTTTACAGCCTTTGTTGTTAATGCATGCAGGAGTAAGAAAGCCAACGGTATTTTCCTTGGATTGCATAGTAATATAGGAGAGAACTCAAATGGAGGATGATGCAATATTAGTGTGGCACAATTGACGAAAGCAATACAAAGAAGCAATAACATATGCACTGTTTCATCTTTCTGTGACATACACAAACGATGTTGACGAATACTTTTTTGTTGTTATTGGTCCCATCACCTTTGTAATGTTGTAGATAGATTAACTTTCTACATAGAACTTAGTTTAAAACTCTTCTTGACAAAAATAATGATTATAATAAACTTGATAAAATAGGAGATCACAGTGCATACATTTATTCGATTGCATATGCTATATTTTTTACAAGACATGTATTCTTTTTTTCAAGTAGAATAAAAACATCTTTTATTTTATTTTGTCAGCATAACGAATTAAGAGCCTAAAATAAGTTTTTTTTTTTTTTCGTGCTATGTTAGGGGAAAGGGGGGAAACCAGCTACTTCCTGTCATGATATAAATACTAGTTCAAACAAGAAAAAAATGTTCATTAATTATTTTGATTTCTCTTCCATACAAATACACAATTCTTTTTTTCTATATTCTATAATATATAAAATGTCATACCTTTTTTATTCTATAGTCATACTTTTAGTCACACTTTCTGTTTATCGACCATTTATTTCAAAACTTGATATTGCCAAATGCATTTTATTAGGTGGCATTTCATTTTTAATACCATTTGTTGTTGATTATAATGCCAATATCTATGAGGATAAAAGATATATCTCTCTAATAGGATTTCAAAATATAACTACTACCGCGTATAAAGGAGGAATATTATCTACACCATTTGACACTGCATATCAATTACAGAGTTTTAGTTTCAATTATTATTCACTAATTGACGCCGTTGTACTTTCAATAATCACTATATTTACTGTCTGCATATGTAGTTTCTTTACAAGATGGCATTTCTCTATTATATTCATCAAACCCAGATCTAACTTATTCATTTCTGGTTTCTTACGACATGGTATTTCTACTATATTTATCTTAGTGGCAATGTTTAGGTAATTCAGAAATTTTACATTACAATTTAAGGTTGTCTAATCATTAATACCTCCTTCTTTTAATTTTTTTAATTTATTATATCTATAAATACATACATTTATATAGTCATTACTCATCATGTTATAGCTTCTCGTTCGTCTTCACTATCATTGGCTTATTGTGGTATGTTCCTGGCCCTTACCTTGTCAGAAGATGGAGAGCTATTACCGCGTCAACTGTGATTTCATCTACTTTCTGTACTTTCATTTGCTATACAGCATATACTCATAGCAAACTATATACATATGGGCATACAATCTGGGTTTTATTTGTTGTTGTACTCGTGCTTTTATGTAATGTACTGGATTTCTTGGATGCTCTTTTAAACACATATCCTTACTTGGTTCATCAAGATAAAGACAAGCAATCACAATTTCAATGCGCCACTTCGTTATCTTATTGGAATGCTGTTATTTGTCTTCTCTTTCATATACCTTCTGAATCTGACCTTAATCCTGCTCCAATTGATGATCTTGAAATTGCTATTCGACTCTTAGGGCCTGCTTCACGTTCTTGGAAAACAATGGCTGCCCTCTTTCCTGTAAATCTTCGTCAAGACCTTTGTCTTTTATATGCTTTTTTTCGTACTGCAGATGACTTGGTTGATGATGCCTCTACACCTAAGCAATGTGAAAAGAATTTAATAACTATCCGAAAATTTCTACGAGATGTTTTCTTTCCAAGTAATCTTAGTTCTAGGCAAGATAATCCTTATGCTGCTGATCCCACTTTGCCATCCCATATTAACTGGAACTATTACGCTTCAGTTTTGCCTAATGATGATGTACTTGCTGTCTTTAGGAATTTTGCTCGTATTTGTCACTATTTATGTCCTCGAGCTATGTCAGAACTTACAAATGCATGGGAACTTGACCTTCGAGGAGAACCGGTTAAGAAACAAAAAGACTTGTTAAATTATGCTGCTCTCATATCAGGAACATTTGGTGAACTCTGTACTTGTGTTATCATGTATAAAACTGGGCATGGTAATTGGGGACAGTATAATAAGAATAATACTGTAAGAAATGAAGAAGTTTTATCAAGAGCACGAGCTACTGGACAGGTAAAAAAAAAAAAAAAAAAAAAAAAAAAAAAAAAAAAAAAAAAAAAAAAAAAACTTTATATTAATTCGCATATTCATTTCACTTTATAGTGCCTTCAACTTATTAATATTGCTCGTGATATTATTGCTGATAGCTTAGTAGGACGCTGCTATGTTCCACTTCAATATATGCCATATCCTCCTCGAAGTATTTATCATCTTTTGAAAGTGGCCAAAAACCCTTTACAAGTCGGTGAGCAAACACTTAAGTCTTTCTCAACCAGAATTTTAGGTCTAGCTGATCAAATTTCAGATAAAGCACAAAAAGGAATTGATGGACTACCTGATGAGGTGCAAGATAGTATTCGTGCTGCTTTTGAGATTTATATGGCCATCGGTCCTACTTTACGAGAACATCCTGGCTTCCCTTTACGTGCTAAAGTTCCTAAGCGCCAACAACAATGGATTGCACTTCGTTGCATATATGGCTTTAGAGGACCAGTAGCCCGTACTATTTCAGCTACATTTCACAAACTTGTTTCTATGTATTTTCGTATATTTACAACTCTTTCAAACACAAGAAAAAGCCCAATAACCCATTAGTTTTGGATTTTATTTAATAACTTATTATATCAATTGTACACATTTATTATATATTTCCCTATTTTCTCATATTATGTTGCATACATATAAATATACATACACACATAAATTTATTTATTTTTTTATTTAAAAAAAAAAATAAAGACTTTCAAGTCTAACAATAGCTTTAATTAAATTCAAGCATTACATTTAAAGTGCTGATTTTATCTGTTTGTTTTTCCAACTTACATCAGACCAAAAAGCTCCTTAAACTATATCAATCACTATTTTTAATATAATAAAGAATTTCTTCTACAAATATAGAGAATTGTGCTGCTATTCTTTATTAAGTACAGTGCACTATTTATAAATAATAATCAACTGGGAACTGATATATATTACGTTTTTATATTAGCTTAAACTAATAACCGTCCGAATTCATTATTTTACAATTGGCACTTGAAGTATCACAAATAGTAAGTGTACAAATTCTTGCACTAATAATACATGCTGAATTTATTTCTAGGCATAGTAAATATTCTTTGTTTATTTAATTTGTTTTAATTTAATTTATTTTATTTTGCATCCTAATATCCATATATTGGAGTGGAGAGGTTTCCAAAAGAAAAAAAAAGTGATTCTTTTTGCCCTATTTTAATTTAATGATACGCATTCTTTGTCTGTGTATTTTTGTTGTGTAGCAACATCCAAGCGCAAAATGCAATAGCCTTTGTTGGCGTTTGTGTAGCATATTTTGAACTTGTTCATCTGAATAAAACTATAATTTTATTGGTGATATAGTACATATAGGCTGATAGTTGTAAGTATACTCGCTTCATAGTTGTATTGTCTTACCATATATTCTAGCTCAAATAGTAGTTTGTGTAAATTTCGAGAAGAAGATAGTAACAGAAGGAAAAAAAAAAGAAAGAAAGAAAGAAAGAAAGAAAGGAAAGAAATAAAGACAGAAAAAACGGAAAACTAAAAAAAAAATAAAAATAAAAATAAAAATGCACTGCCCTATAATTCGTTCTGCGTAATAGTGTTGTTGACAAGTATTATAAATTCTTTTATTGAATAATACTTGATTGGTATTATAAGTTGTTGGATTCAATCTTTTTTTTTTTTTTTTTTTTTTTTTTTTTTTTTTTTTTTTTTTTTTTTTTTTTTTTTTTTTTCGTTAGTTAATATTCAGTCGTGTTTAATGAAGAAGAAATTTTATATAATCATACATGAAAATACTCTATGTTGTATGCACTAATTTTGAATAAAGAAATATTTTTTTATTACTTTTAAAGTCGTTATATTCAATTTAGAAATGCTTGATTTTTCTTTCAATGTAAGCATAAATGAACTAATTGCTTTATTCTATTCCAACTACTCACAAAAACAATGAAATTATTCTATAAGACAATTTAACATGATTTACACATCCATTAATTCTTTAAAAGATTTTTTTTTTTAACTTTAGAAACGTTATACTTTGACAATGTAATGATTTTATGTAAACTAACTAATTTTCGTATTATATCTGATGTCTAGCATAACATGAATCTCCTCATCTAAAAAGTAATATTCTACGATAAAAGGTAAATAAGCAATACATAAATTATAAATCTTGTGGTTTATCTGGATGATATATTTTATGTTAATTCATTCCGAACTAGAATCTATACCCTGTAAACAATATAAA